TCAGCATGTCTGCTGTAGTCTCTGTGTCCGCTTTCAGTGCTTCAGGGGGTATTCCATCTGGTCCAGCTGCTTTTCCAGCTTTCAGAAGCTTGATTGCATTCAAGACTTCAACTCTCGTTGGAGGATTGGTGTCAACTTGCAGTTGTGTGCGTGCTACTGTTGGTATTTCTGGACGGGTTGCAGGTGGTGGTCTGTTTAAGAGTCCTTTGAAGTGATCCACCCATTGTTTAATCTGTTTTTCTTCCTTGGTGATCGGGTTCCCTTGGCTGTCTTTTATAGGTTTCACTTTTGTTGATCTCTTCCCGGATAGAGATTTTGGTATCTGGTATAGTATCCTCAGGTCCCTTTTGCCTGCTACTGTCTCAGCTTCAGTGGCCAGGTCGTCGTAGAATCGTCTTTTGTCCTTCCTAGCACTCTTCTTCACTTCTTTGTCCAGTGCTGTGTAAGTTGAGCTCAGCGTCTCCTTCTCCTGTCCGTCCTTGCATTGAATCATTTTCTCTTTCACCATTCTCCTCTCTTCTATTAGCTTCCAAGTGTCCGTTGAGAGCCATTCCTTGTCTTGTCTCTTCTTTCTTCCTAGAACCGTTGAACATGTTTCGTTGAAAATCGCTTTCAGAGACTTCCAGTGGTCTACTACGCATGATTCTCCAGTGATATAGCGTAATGTTTCCTGCTTGACTCTGAAAGTTGCAGTGAACGTGTCTTTTGTGGTTGTGTCCTTCAGTAATTGAGTGTTGAACTTGCATTGTGGCTTATCCCCAGCTATCCTCGAGGCTTTTAGTTTCACCTTGAAAGTCTCTTGTACTAGATAGCGGTCTGAACCCACATCTGCTCCTCTCCTTGACCTTGTGTCCAGTAGGCTCTGTCTCCATTTTCTTGAAATTGAGATGAAGTCTATTTGATTCTTGGTGTTTCCATTTGGTGAAATCCATGTCGTCTTGTGTATATCCTTGTGTTTGAACACACCACCGCCAATCACCAAATCATTGAAGGCGCAAAAGTCTGAGGAGAGTTCACCATTGTCGTTCATTTCGCCGAGGGCCTCACGATCCATGGTGAGTTCTCTTCCTGTGTTGTCTCCTCCCAGCTTCTCATTCATGTCGCCCATCAGGATTTTGATATCGCCATTTGGGACGTTGTCCATTACCGTTTGTAGTTGTCTGTAGAACGCCTCCTTCTTCTCTTGTTCTGAGACGTTTGTAGGCGCATAGCATTGAATGACTGTAACTTTCCTTCCTTTTGAGTTGAACCTGGCTGTCATTATCCTGGAGGAGATTGGTTCCCACTGCATGAGAGCTTTGGTTGCTGTTGGTGACATCATGATGGCCACTCCCTCAGTGTGCTCGTGGTTGTCCTCTGGGTGGCCGGAATAGATTATCGTCTCTCCAGTTGGTAGTTGGCACCTTCCAGTTCCGTTCCATCTGCTCTCGCAGATTCCCAACACTTCTATTCTGTGCCTTCTCATTTCAGCGGCTATCTGGGCAGCCTTTCCAGTTTCGTACATTGTGCGAACATTCCAGGTACCCATCCTTACTTTTGCTTTCATCGAAAGAAGGCACATCGGCTGACTGGCTTCCCGAAGGCTTTCACCAGCCTGCGTCATTTCGCTTCTCCGATTCCCGTGAAAAATAAGGCTATTGTTTATATTTTTAGGATTTTTAATATATTTGCGCGTTGAAGTTTCTGTAGAGGTTTGGCTGTTTTACGAGGGTGGAGTTGATAGCACCACTTCCCAACCCTCCCTCTTTATCCGGGCTTGGGACTGGTTAGAAACCTAGCAAGCTAGTATTCTAGGCGAGGTTTGGAGAGTTCTAAATAGAACTAAATTCGCATCTTGTATTCCACTGCTAGTCACCATCCACCAAATTATACCGCCAAAGCTTCTCTTATAAAAGCCGACATGTCGACATAGGTCAGGGATTTCGATTCAGTACAATCAATCAACTGGAACTTAAAACATTAATTTAGACAAATATAATTACAAATTTTCTATGCACTCTGGTGGTTAACATTTTCAACATTTGTAATTGTGCTACTTATAAGTAGCAGGAAATTTTAATCATATTATGGTGACAAAATTCAAAAGTCACTATGACGAATCAAGACATTTAATTTTAAAGTCATTCTTTGCATCTGCTCTTATATACAGAGTATTCATAAACAATTTACACTACTTAAAAGGATTTATAGGCGTCAAAACTTCTGAAGATTCGTACGAATGTTATTCACAGCTTTATATGTCAAATTATTATTTTTTATTAGTAAATGCATGGCTTTGAATGTTATATACATATATATATATATGTACATATTTTCTCCAAAGAATAAAAACAACCTAAATTTTTTTTCAACTTGGCATCCATCATAAACTGGTGCTCACAAGGTGAATTGCAGAGTTCTAATACAAAGTCGATTCTTTTATCTATTCAGGCACCATATTTTCAACTATAGGCTGCACAGATAAGGACGTTATAGGACCCTACGAAATAATAACACACAGCCCCCGAAGATTGCAGTTAGAAGAGCCTATTATTCACCAGACCTTCGTTGTCTCTTCATTACCACCCCTATTCTACTTTCGAGAAATAAGGATAAACTACCGAAATTCTCCTCCATGTTTATCTACCAGTTCAACTGCAGCTACATCGGGCCTAGAATCAGGTAGGTTCATCATCGTATTTCCGAGCATCATCCAGCATGGTTAAGCAAGGGACAAACAAGATCTATTCGTAGCTCTACTTTAGCACACCTTGTAGATAATGAGCATAAGGCTGAATTTAATACGGCATTTAAAGTTATTCGTCGCATTCCTACTAACCTTAATTTTGCTTTATGAGTTCATCTTCTACACAACAACTGAAGCAATAGGAATCCACCTGAAGAAGCCGAATCTGTGTGTTCAGAAGAAATTTGTACAGCCATTTTCCATACCTTGGTCATCGTTACATGAATGTATAAATCGAACTACTTTGCCCCCCTCCCCCAAAAACCCTTAAAAATTACGATTGTCCCAATTATTTTGTTATTATTTTTTCTGACTACTTCATCTTTAATTACATGTTACCACTGTCCAAATAGTTTTTCTTTATCTTTAACAATCTGTTGCGTAATCAAATTGAGCACACATTTATTCCTTAATTATTCTTCATTTTCCCAAAATTGTGCATTACGCCATCCATGGGTTGCAACCATTTCTACCTTCCAATTGTGTGTATTATTTGTCCTCGTTAATTATCACCCGTTGCATTGACACATCGATACTGACTAATTATTTGATAACAAACATATCAGTGGCACTTCATTGGTAAACTGTTGTGTATTGTATTAAAAATGCTATACGTGTATATTAGAGTAGAGCCAGAGATGAGGATCCAACTAAAAAGTAAGTATTTCTTCGCTCAATGCTTCTGCTTTCTAAAAGGCACAACTGGAAAAGCAAAACACACCTTCATTAGTCTGAAATCAGTAAGGAACAAAATCCAGACTTTCACTATTAATGTCAAATCAGTGATCCTGTATGGTTCAGAGACTTGGGACGAGCATCACAAAAGGCATTTTCAACAGGTTAATGCTAAATTTTTATCAACAAATGCCTTCTCTGGTTCCATACTGAATATCAGATGGCCATATAGAAGGGATTAGCGATAACGAACTCTGGAGATGAATTAACCAAGAACCTATTGCCTAATAAATATTCCAAAGAAAATAAAGATGGATTAGAGATTGCTTTAAGGAGACTGTTCGAGTGGAACTCGAACGGTTTTCTTGTTGTTTTTCTAGGGATTTGATTGGCGCTTGTAACAGGATTTCATCATGAGCTGACATTGGTTAGAGGACCATTGGAAAACCACCTAGGAGAATTGGACAGTTGTTTCGTCCTATTTTGAGACTCTTCATCAGTACGCACTCACCGGGATTCGAACCCAGGACCTTCCGGTTACAAGGCGAGCTCGTGGATCATTAGGTCACTGGTCTACTCCCAGGTTTTCCAATGGTTCGCTAACGAATGGCAGCTCATAATGAAATCCTGTAATCAAACATATTTTTATCTGAAAGTGATATGGAAGAGATAGTGTGACGACGGAATTGAAGCCTATGTTCTGTCGTACAGCCAGGTAATGAGAACTGCAGAAAGGAGGATAAGGGAGCAATAATGACAACAAGACCTCGTTGACTTAAATACAACAGCATTTAGTGAAAATTAAGCTGATTCACGTATATCTTAGTCGGTAAATGTTATGTACTCGTTGCTAAATTATTGTTATGGACTGGTCGAGAATTTAATAGTCCTGACGCAAGAAGGCGGAAATCAGAAGACCACTAGGTTTGCGATGATACTTCTATTGTCCAAACACAAGGAGAAATGCAAAAGTGGTATCACACCAAAGTAAGTAGTGTAAGTCAGTCACACAAATTGTGAATGAGAAATATATATGAATGTTCAGACAAAGGTGTGAACAATCATTAGACAGTCTTAACATGAATGGCTAATTATAATGAAGTATCGGTCCATATATACATAGCAAAATATAGCAGACATGTCAACAACCACCATATATGGATATATGTCACCAAGCAACGGACTGTCAACAAACACTCATATTATATATAATATAATATAAGGAGAATATACATTGTTAAAGGAGACAAGTTCATACAAGTGAAATGGTCACAGACTAAGCGAGCAAACAGAAAGAGAGATCACCATACACACACACACATATATTTATGTGGATACATATCAGTAAATAAATAGAAGACTATGATTAGCATTGTCATGGAGTTAGTTATAGTGCATTCAGTGATCGTTCGGTCTGGTGTACCAGCTAGTTATACAAGATGGAAGAAATGAGAACTAGTGTGTCATTTTTTGTTTTAAGACAACACGTTTATAACCAGTTATCACATGATGATCATTATCACCCTAATCAATACTACTTACTAATCAATCAGTAATATCTTTTTTAAAAAGTACATAATTTAGTCATATTAACATTATTATGTCAGAGTTCATAATCACTTTAGCATGTTGCATTTCATCATACGTATTAATCGGATTAATATTCGCACTGGGTGTACACACTTTTCGAAAGCATTATGTACCAACCAGCGAGTTTCGTCGTATTAATCCACTGGAGGATGTCGGTTATACTGTCTCACGGAATCTAATATTTCTAAATCCTGCTGTATTATATGACATATTAAAAAATGATCCATTTTTTGATCCTGATATCTATGAAATGAAAGATCAGTTGAATCGTGAAGATATAGAACTGCTGACGAAACAAGCTATGCGCCTGTTGTTAAGACAAAGTGTTGTTGGTACAAATCTACCGGCGAGTTTAGCCTATCTAAGACGTTGTCTGTTGATATTAACAGAGGCTAAACGTGAACGACAAATGAAACAAGGAAGATTACATAAATATTAGTCCTATGAATTCTTTTTTCATGAGGATATATATGAAAAAGTGACAATACATAAAAATAATTTATCCTTGATTTATTGTATTGAAATTAGATCCCTGATTGTATGACTTAACTTTGATATGAGAAGAGTGAGGAATTACCTAAATATGTAGGCCTGGCGCCCCATTAACTTTGTCATAGATCTTATTTTCAAGTGTTGATCTGCAGGGATTCGACTGACCTCAAAATCGATCACGAAATGACTTCATCTGGAGAACCAGTAAAGAAAAGGGAGCACCGCACAGCTATTTCGTCCTTGTTTGGTACCCTTCATCACTATGCACCCATGACCCGAACAAGGATAATCGAGTCCGGAGGCTTCAAGTTACACGGTGAGCTTGTTCACTATACAACTGCTATTATCGTATTAGGGCTTCCTTCTTCTGATATATATGACTTTACTGAGAATTAGGCTTTTACAATTGTTAGAATCTCGTCACCTACCAACATGTTAGCGAGATCGTTGGGAACCGTGGAGCACTGTACAGTCATCTGTTTCGTCCTGTACTGGAACTCTTCATCTGACGTTGGTTCCTGGAGCTGCAGTAGGAAATTCGTGTCCATTAGGGTCTACTGTGTCAAGCTGAAGTGGACGTTTCTCCAAAGCAGTGACTAAGGTAGCACTGTATCACAAGTTGACAAAGTTAGAACTCAGGGGTCATTAAATTCCAGCCCAAATGGGCTTGACCACATAACCTGAAGGTCTACGGTGCTATCCTTAGTGGGATCGTCGGTCCGCATCCTAAAGAGTCCCTGAATAGGACAAAACAACTTACTATCCAGTGTCACTGATTTCCGATGATGATTCAAGACGAAAATCTAGACTTTTGCCAATACTGACTGACTGGTTTCAACGTACAACTTTCCACAGATGTGCAGCATTTCGAGTTGCCACACTCCCTCGTTGTATCACACAAAGAAAGAGAAGAGAGTAAAGAGAGATTCAAGAGAAGGATAATAAAGTGGAATGTGAAGCAAAAAGAATAGTAATATGGAAGAACAATAGAATTTTATTGGATATTATAAAAATTCCAAAGAATGGGTGAATCTGCGCACCAGCCACTAAGAACGATTTTGAACTATATCACCAATTGTCTATAGCCATTCTTTTGCCGATAAGTCCGTAATCCACTTACAGTACGAATATGATCTAAGAATACGCTAAATAGATGAGTGTTCCAAATAGAAATGGCTTCATTTTTAGAAAGGAAAGATGACCACCAGCATAATTATTCACCGTCAGACAGATAAAAGAAAATTGTGTAGTCGAGTAGACTAAAGTCATGAAGTATTTATATGAATAACCGGTTAATTTGGTTCTTTTCATAAATGCAGAATATGAGATTAGTGCAGGTGATAAATCTTTCGAAATGTCTTCTCAATAGCTATTTTCTAGACACTGGTTTCAGTTGCATATACAGGTTTAAGCTTCCAGACTTCAGTACAATAAATGATGGAGAAATATGCACATAAAGACCCATGGATGATTAAGGTGTATCGGTCCAATGTCTTCATTTAAAAACATTAAAGTGTAGCGAAGTGTTATGCCCCCAAAATTTTTCCCGGTGTTCATCGATCGTAATGGCATTACTATTATATTGGTTTTATTCTCCCGGATTCCAAGTGAAACAGGCGGCTTCGACAGAACTTCTCTACTTTGTCCTGTTCTCAGTAGTCATCTTTAAGTGGCTCCATGATTTCTCAAAAACTTTCATTGCCTCCATATCACTCTCGGTATTCCATTCAAGACCAACTAGAGGGTATGTCTAGCATGCAGTATCACCCAGACGGTCTCCTCCTCAGCGTATGTCCAATACATCTCAATTTCCTTCGGGATATTTGTTAGGCAGTAGGTTCTCAGTTTTAGGATTTTATCATGAACTGATATCGATTAGAGGACCATTGAAAAACCAACTAAGAGTACTGGACAGATGTCTCGTACTAGTTTGGGAATCTCCACAGTACGCACCCAACGCCAGAGTTGAAACCCAGGACTTTCTGGTTACAAGGTGAGCTCGTAGATCATTGGGACACTGGAAGCCGATCCAATGGCTAGTCCATGAATTCCAACTTCTGTCGATTCATGGTATGGCGCGACCACTAGCAAATGTCATCGGCGAGCATTTGTCTTGACATCTGACCAGCTGTACTCCACACCAGAACCCAGGTAACTACCTACACCTGCAAGATGATGATGAAATCCTGAGACAAATCAAATGCATGCAAACCAACAATTAAACAGCTGTACAGTCGTATTTATATTAGAGAAAATGTTATTAAGTGCCACTAAATAATCGCTCAGTCAATATACATATAAATGTGATGAGAATAACGATAATTAGAATGTTAAAAGGGGTAGAGTTGAAGTGGATGGATTACAAAATTCTTAAGTGAATTAACATCAAAAATATGAAGCGTTATCTATAAATTAAAAAAAAAAATTAGGAGTACGATTATGATAAGAATGAAAATGTGAAATGAAGTGGAATGAATTCAAGTAGTTAAATAAAATAAAATAAAAACTAGAAAGAACATTATTATGACCAAGGTACAGAAAGGGGTTTGACGAAACGTTTTCGAACACATAATTTAGGTTTCTGTTCATGTATAGCTAAAGCTTCGGCTAGCTATGCATAAGTGAAAAAAACGTAAACTTTTCGATCGATTCGATTTTGCCATGTAGATAACCTTGAAGGACGAATTATGTTGGGCTAAATGACCAAACTCTAACAGGTCATCACAAATAGACGACTTTGCAGTTCTATGTTCGCCTTTCATTAACCAAACTGGATAGTGTTCAGCTACACGTTTCCGGAGATTACGCTTACAACGTTCAATATAATCAGCTCCACAAAAGCAGGTAAAAGAGTAAATACACATAGGTGTGGACGAAAGCTGTAATCCATCCTTGACGCATTGTCTAATCATATTTCGGCTGATAAAAACTAGTTGCAAGTCACCTGCAGGAAAAGTGCGTTTAATACATTTAGATAAACGATTTTTAATCAATTCCGAAATGGTGTCACCTTTGAATGCAAGACTCATAAACACCTCTTTCTTTGGTACTGTGATTTGTCTCAGGGTGGATTCTTTCTCGATGTTACGTTCAATAAACCTTGTAGGATAACCATTGTTAAGGAGATGTGATCAAAGGTTATCTCTAGTTCACTACCGATGGTCTCTGTAGAGCAGATTTTACGAATTCTGGAGCATAAGGAATGAATGAGATTTCTCTTTCTCCCTAAAGGTACCCAACTGTTGGAGTTAGTGTACTGCCCTGTGAATGTTCACCTTCAGTAAATCGACCTTAACAGCGTTCAATTTTCTCTTCTATCAAGCTTAACGTCAAGGAAGTGAAACGAGGAATTCGACTCTTCTTCGATAGTGAAAAGCAAAGTTGGGTGAGGGTTCACTTCACTTATTTTTATTTCCACTTCATTTATTTTTATCGTAATCGTACTCCTAATTTTTTTTTAAATTTTTAGACAACGCTTGGCATCTTTCTCTTCAAAAATATTTTTCGCATTAATTCACTTATAAAACAATCTTTAATAATTTTGTAATCCATCCACTTCAACTCTACCCCTTTTAACATTTTAATTATCGTTATTCTCATCACATTTATATGTATATTGACTGAACAATTATTTAGTGGCACTTAATAACTTTTTCTGTAATATAAATGCGACTATACAGCTTGAAAATGAAGTCAAATCGTTGAAAAGAAATTTCTTCGCTGAACAAAAATACTGTGTTTTTACTTATGAATAAATGGGTATATTTCGTGACTTAAATAGGTTCTTAACTGATTCATTTCCAGAGTTCGTTGATGCCAATCCTTTCTAGCTGGCCATATAATCTTCAGTCCAAAGCCAGAGAAAATAGCTGTAGGATGAATATCCGCAGTTGCTTATTGAGAATAGTATTCGTGGCGCGCCAAGTCTCTGTACCCTATAGAGTCCCTGATTTGACATTGAAATGTTGATAAAAAACGAAATGAGTTCTTTATGCTAAGTGCATACGATTTATAAACTGATTTCAGAGTGATGGAGGTTTGCGTCACCTTTCCAATTACGGTTTAGACATCTTCAAGTTGAAATAAAACTGACCGCTTTCAAATTGCACCCAACGATGGTGGTTGGTGATTGTTGTTGTTGCTTGTTTGGTATCCGCATTACCTCTATCTTCTCTATGTCCACTTGAAGTTCTGTCTTCACTTACAGTCTCTTCTGTCAGCTTGTTGTTTTTCATCTGTAGACATCATCTGTGACATTAGACATAAATCGTCTGCAAAGCACAGATCTTCTGCAGTCTTCTTAACGGTCACACATATTCCTATCTTCTCACTCCCCACTAACGACCTGTTGCATGAGCCAGTCTAACAAGATCAGGAGTATCATCGGTGATAGTAGACCATCTTGTGCGTCGGTGGCACAGTGGTTAGGACTCTCGCCGACCATGCACATGGTCCGGGGCTCGAGCCCACGCCGGCGCACACCTGATATCTATGGTCGGCCTGCGAAATTTGGGCTACCGATATCCATGCTGAAAATTCCATACTTGTACCAAAAATACAGTGTGGAATCAAGCTCTAAATCTAAAAAATCTCATCTTAGGCGTGTCTTTACTTCAAAAGCTTCTATGCTGAGTTGACCGTTGTCAATCACTTGACATGTGGAACAAAGGGCTTCAACAACACATCTACACTTTGTTCTATTCTCTGCTGTCCACTTTAGCTGGGCCTATGATTGCCCATAATTTATCAGCTCCTCCTGGCCACACCATCTCCTCCATATCACCCTCAGACCAACTCATCACTATCCATCGGGATTCCATTCGAGCAATGGTCTGTATTGCGTGCGATGTCATTCAATGGCCTCTTCAGTGACGTGTGCCCGATCCATCTCTATTTTCTCCTACATATTTGTTGACCAATCATCTCTTGATTGGTTTGTTACCACCTAGAGTTTCTTGTTACTAATTCTTTCTGTCCATTTGATCTTCAGTATGAAGTCAGCCAAGGGGGGGGCAGTTGTTTGTAAAAAGTCTACAGCTGGTTGTTGGAAATACTTTACGTTACACGTAGTTCAATTTTCTCACCTGCATAAAAGCAGTGACTGCTGACTTCAAATTTCTGTTGAAGGTCAGAGTTTTGTTGTGTTATGCTGGCTGGGTGCCGAAGACTTGTTTGAGGCTGGTGAAGGCACATATTACCGCTCCGATTCTGGCTGGCTGGCTTTGACATCATCCGTTCCGCTGGCCTATGGTTGGGAAACCGTGCTTCCCAGATAAGTGAAGGAAGTAAACTCCGTTAAATCTCTCTCTCTCTCCCTTTGATAGTGATTGGTGCTGGTTGTTTTTGCTGTAGCTGTTGGCTGGGGTTATCTTCATCACCTCCGTCTTCTGTATGTTCACCTGGAATCCTATCTTCGCTGCTCGTGTCTTCTGCCAGTTTGTTGGTTCTCGCATGCAAGTCTTCAAGGTTGTTTGACATTAAACATAAATCATCCACACTCGATTTCCACAAGTTCTCAAGTCTCCTTATCTGTCAAGTGTACTCTTGTCTTCTCACTTCCTTCGCCCAGTCTAACGCATAAACCAGTGTCTCCCACAATTAAGAATATCATCAGTGACATTAGGCAGCTAAGCTTGTCTAACTCCTATATTCAATTGAAAGGCTTCTTCGCTCAGTTTTCCGTTGTGGATCACCTAATACGTGGTGGCATTGTCATATAGTCAGCCAGCTGTGTTGAATGAGGTTAATAAAGATTTGGGCACTGCACGCAGTAGTGTTGAATGACTTTCCAAATTATGTCTCAGTCAACGCTGCCTGGTGACGGCCTTTTCAAAGTTGATGAAGTTAAGGTAGATGTTTGACTAAGATTCTATGCTCTATTCGATGACGATGCGCACAGAAAAATATGGCATAGATCGCTTCGAATCAGCTTTACAATAAAAGCATTCAATAAGAACCTTCACTTGATTATTATATGTTTAACGCAAATACCATAAAAACCTGCAACGTTATTAAATTTGATGAAGTAGAAATATTTTCCCTTAAAAATTAAGCAAATTAAATAAATAATATGTGATAACAAGAGTTCTTCATGGAATTGATTAATAAACAGTTCTGATGTAAGAGTGGAATTTGAGCAATGCGATAAAATGCGATAATTCCACACTACATACGTTTACTTAATTATAAAACACAGTGGGTAATCTAGTATTTTAATAATTTGGAAGGCGTTTTGAGCACAATTTATTACTGCTCATAATCATATCACAATTTAGTCACACGATCTCTTAACTTTCTATGTAGGCAGCCTTTTTTTTCACATACTTTATACTAGATAAATTGCAACATTAAAACAGGAGGGAGTCAGACTACATACAATAAACAATTCATATGAACACATTGTTATGATTATGAGCAGTAATCAATTAGGCTGTTAACTTCACATAATAGTTATTAATATACTGTATCATTCATTCACTGTTTGTTGTAATCAAATCAATAATCTAATGAGTACTAAAACTGCGTCGGTGGTTAAGTGGCATAGAATTGAAAAGTGTGTAGGTCAAAATGATGCCTAAGACAAACTGAAAACCTCGTCTTAAGAAATGACTAATCCAAAATTTGTCTTTAGACTGTAGTCTGCATTTCGCATTGACTGATTCTTATCTTGGACTGAAATGTTGGGTCTCTTCGACAATATCTGAAGATTAAAATGATTCTATTTAGTTTCATGATGACTGACAGTGGAATCAAGGATGCGATTTCGTTCTGTTTTGAACTCATCAACCTGGATGTACTCGCATACCCAGTGAGTGATGATTGTTGTTCTTACTGAGACTCAAACCATGTACCAAACATCAATGCGTTATCCACTAGGCCACAAAATTGACAAATAGGACGAAATGCGCGTCCTGGATCGAACTTCTAGTTATCATTATCAACCGAAATAAGAAATACTTTGCTGTACGAAACCCATAACCAACCTAGTACTGTTGAGTGGTGGCTAGATTTCCGTCTTCCTCTACAAATCCTCTCGTAGGGCCATGCATTCATAGCCCCTCTCGGGTAAGCCCTATTCACGGTGAGGTTCTTCACAAAAGTAACAGGTCGAATCCAAATGCCAGATGCTTAAAACCAGACTAGTGGACATCCTGTTCTACCTATCAGGAGTTGGAAAACCCTGACCTAAACCTTATATGTAGGCAGATAAACAATGGATTATGCTTCATCGGTGATCAAGGTCATTCAGAAGAGATAAAACAGTCAGAATTGCCTAAGACAAAATAACACCCACTATTTTTATTGATCAAGATTATAGACTGATTGACATATACATGGTGATTTTTTGAAGCATACATTATTGTGTCAGAAATATACACTATGACTGATACTAAAATAGACTTTTCGGCTCACATCACTATGCATGTGTTCTCGCCCAAGTAGACCGGGTTGGAGAATAGGCAGCTTTCGTAGTCAAACAGTATTCGTGACTAGCGCGTTTGTCTTCAACTCGGCGTCGCAATTTCCAATCTCAATGTTATTGTGAAATATAAAAATGGTGTAACATCACAACACAAACCCTATGATGTACATAAACTCAAGAATACGGACGGATCGTAAAAGCGTATGAACCTGTTTTACTCACCGGAAACCACGAGGACGCAACTCCTGACACTGATCCCCTGTCTTGTGGATCAGACTTCAAGTCAACGGTTCCAAGCGGTGGGCCCTCATCCCTCAAAAAAAACTCTGGGATTTTATGTGACGCATCTCTTCGTGACGAAAATGTACCACGTTTTAATAAATAAAAAAAATAACTAACTTCGCCAACCGCTACATGGAAATTTGGTAAAGAACCATTGGGATTCGATTACTGAATAACTCCGTTGATGAGATTACACGGAGCTGAAATTTTCTTATACAATTTACACGCTGTACACACGCGCACACACACTCAGTGTTTACATACGCCATACATTATAGATATACACATTAATATCGAAGGAGGGTGTAATAGTAAGAAAAGTAATTTATAAAATAAAAGGGAAATTAATGTTAAGATAAATAAATAAATAAAATAAATTACTAAATAGAAATTATTAAGTGAAACGTATAGAGTACTGCAGTACTGTCCCGCCACCCTCCATATTGTTGCTATTATGCATTATTACATGGGTTATATATATACACACAGGTCGATCTAGTCACTTCCAATAATCGACCATTCAAAGTAAAGAAGATAAGCTAGGCAACAATTCTTGTTGTTAACAAAATTACTACACAAGTAATGAAAAGGTTAATTTTTTATTAATAGTAGTATATATTAGAAGTAGTATATGTAGGTGTATGTGTCGGTGAGAAAAATAGCAATGGAAAAGCATATTAAAGTCACTAAAGTTAGGGAAAAATAAAAAATATATTAAGGAAAACTAATGTGAAACCTCATAAAACCGAAATAAAGTTTTAAAAATGAGTATACAAAATAATAATAACAAAAAAGAATACATATTTATTCAAAACAATTGAGCAATTGAATTGAGGTTGTGTAAGACAGACACGACAGGCGCACCGTAATTAAGTAATATGTGTGGAAGGGAATGCACAACAAGCGAAGAAACGCCACACTATACGTATGCATACATATATATACAAGAATGATAAATATAAAAAGACTTTACAGGCTAGCTGGCATACACCTCAGCGAACAATTCTTCCCTTCAAGACCAACTTTCCGTTCAATATCATCAAGTAGAAGTAGACTGTGCCAATTCACTGGATGCATACTTCTTGAATACTCGAATACACCCATTACAATCAGCTGAGACAACAACCTCGCCTAAATACATCCATGTTTGTCTATCGACATTCGAATTACCACTAGTAGAGATGATTGGTAATTGATCTGAGCTCAATTGTCTACGACGATAATAATGATATTTGAGATTTGCATCAGAATGCTTTGAAGCAATCAAACTGGAATTCTGTGTTCTTTGTTTAAAATAGTTTTTATCCAGCACTAGGTTTGGATTAGGACTGAAGACAGCTACAGTGACCATTGTATCATGCGCTTTTATTGCCTCCCAGCAATTATTTCTATCTTTACGTACTCGTGAGAAACGTGATACTCTGTCGACATCCAGTGATTTTTGCCAAATATAAAAAAAGGCATTCTCTGAACCTGATATTAAATATCGACCAGTTGGACTGTAAAAAAGAATAAAATAAATAAATAAGATAGAAAATAAGGCCGTTAAATGTATGTAATCGGAGCATAAATAAAATGATAAATGAGTAGGTAACTCTAAGCTATAGCAGCCCAAACTGAAACTACCCAGCGAACGGACAAATGACCTTAAGCAACCAATCAGGTGACTCTGTTTTATCCAGAGGTAATTATGGATGCTCTAGACCTTTTGCGTTGCAAATTCGCTCAGGATCTTGTTTTTGATTACTGTTTGGAGAACGGACTGATTGGAAGGTGGAAAATTTGTCAATAAAGGAGGTGTCATGCGTATACAAAGATACACTAGCTGCATTGATGGGTTTGTTTACAGGTGCAGTGTGAGTGCCGAAGCAGTAAATTAGTTCGAGAAGGTATGTCGTTCAGTTTTAGTTTACAGATTCCATAGGTACTTTTTTCTCAAAGTCTAAATTACCTTTAACGAAAATTTTAATGTTGTGTCATTTCTGGGTACTGAAAAGACTAGTTACAGCAACAGCTTATGAAACAGATAATTCAGAAGTGTTTGAAGTGTAATGGTACCAGTACTGCAGAGACCTATCATCGTGGAAAATGAAGAGGCTGACTCAAGTACTTGGCGTAGTTGACGTCATCGTTCACGTTGATGAGACGGTGTTAATCAAAAGGAAATATAATCAAGGCAGATTAAGTGCAAATCAGCAATGGGTATTGGGGATCTATGACACCAGCCTTCAGAAAGGATATATTGAAGCGATCCTTAATGGGAGTGCAAATGTATTATTGCCTATTATCCACCGATTAGTGCTGCTTGAGACGACTATTCATACAGATGAATGGAGTAGTTACGGTCAGTTATCAAGTCTCGGCTATATTCATCATGTAGTCAACCACACAAATGGTTTTCGCAATCCTTTTGATGGAACTCACACTAATTCCATCGAAACTTTTTGTAGTCACCTAAAAAACGGATCAGATCGGTGAATGAATCAAGAAATCCAATGATGTACAGTTACCTCAATGAGTTTATGTACAGAACTTGGTTTAACATGGGTATCAAGACTCCTAAGAGAAATTGGGAGGTTTCTTGGAACATATACGAGAACGTTATCCTTTATAACTATTTTTTACTTTATATAAACTTTTATATAAACAATTTATTAAAATTATGTGCCGTTTTTTTGGGCCTTCTGATTGGTCAAAGTTTGTCAAGGTCATTCGCCGTTCGCTAGGTAGTTTCGGTTTGGGCTGCTCTATACTTTAGAGTTATCAGTAAGTACATAGAAATTAGGTAGTATTAGTGTTATTACTTTGGGCTACAAGTGGAGCAAAGGGTTTCAACAGCGCATCTCCACAACTATCCATAAGCTTTCATCTCCACCTCACACAATTTCCTGCATTTCGCCCTCAGACCCACATACAACTCACCGTTTCTCAACCGGGTTCAATCTAGTTCCCTAATTGGTCTGCTCTGAGTTCGGAAGAATAAAGAAGGTTGGGCGTGGTACTAGCTATCCTACCCTGGGAAATCAACCCAACTGCTAGAGGTGATGAAACTTCTGCCTTCCTATCAAAATGCTCTTCATGTGGCAAGGAATTCATAACCAATCTCTCCCAAGCAAGTTCTATTCACTACTTTCGCACGACAGGAGTGTTCATAACATAAGTGGAAGAGAGAACTCGAATATCTAGTAGACATACAAGTCTACCTAGGGGAGCTGAAAAAGCCTGATTCCAAACAACTGGTGTACATAGGCCGCACAATCCGAATGGATTGAATGACCTATGAAACTGTTTTTGGTCGCCAGACACCACGGGGTTGTAACTCCTGACGACGATCCATTGCCTTGTGGATCAGACTTCAAGTCCAAGACCCTGGAAGTAGTTTCTCAAGACAACCACCACCTGTTTCGGTCTGGGCAGTATCCCAGCCCTTACAAAAACTATGTGGCTTTGTGTGGCGCATCTCTTGGTGACCATACTGTACCAAACTTGTATTTTATTTAATAGATAAAATAATAAATAATATCCAGTAACTGAACAACTGTGTGCTTCTATTTCGAATGTCCGGAAAGCCACTAGTTACCTTAAGGTTTGCTTTCTAGGCGAGTACCATTGTACACATAAAACCTACGTTCTATAAATCCAGGCAATTTAGGCAATTCACTTAAAATAACACTTAATGTAACCCCCCATTCCCCATCCCCATCTATACGAAACAGACAGACGCAAAGTACTTACCTAAAAGATGCACGAATTTGACTAGTTTCATTGACAAATCCCCGATATTTACACAAGGTATGATAATCACGAGCATCGACTAACCGTAGACGTGAATCGTTTGATGTGACAAGAATCTGTACGAAATTTCAGGAAAAAAAGTTTTTTAGAGAAAAATCAGTACTGTTACATGCACCAATGAACAGATATATTCTACAAAGTACTATAAAATAATACGGGGGAGTGTGGTACGGAGATATTTGTAGCTCAGATCGAGGATGTGATATAGATGTGTTTATATTGAAGTGTTGTGACCTGCAGATGTCATCTAGGAAGACAGTGCAAGCCACCATAATTAAACCACCTAGCTCAGAGAAACCAACCATATCAAAGAGACGATTATTCTTGTTTTTGGTTACAGGATTTCATAATGAGCTGACGTCGGTTGAGGGAACCATTGGAAAACTAGCACCGGAGTACTGGACAGTTGTTTCATCCTATTTTGGGACTCTTCATCAGTTCACACCCACAATGTGGGGTTCAAACACAGGACCTTCCGGTTACAAGGCAAGCTCGTAGTCCATTAAGTCACAATGATGTTTAGTCAGTTATTAAAAAGTTACGGAACAAAATCACAACTGAACTAAAGTGAACTGATTAATCCTCTTAGTAAAAAGGATATTTCCCACTAGAGTGCATTATTTGGGGGGTTTTTTCGCCTCCCGGTTGATACATCTCACTTAAAGCAAAATGACAGTCAAGTCAACATGCCACAATGAACAAATAAGTTACATTGACTGCAGTGATTGTTCCAAGATATTATATTATCATGCCGGTTAGGGTCTAGTGAATAACAGAGTAAGAGTAAAATTAATAGCCCCCAAAGTGTAATTAGTTTAAACCATTCGCCATTGATCTGAGAATGAAGTTGTACTGCTGGCAGAGGGTTGGGTGAGTAGATATATACGAAGTTTTCCTGAAATAACGAGGAATTTAACTGTGATGTTTTCACTGTATGAATAAGAAGATATACGAATAATTTTCGAATCACAACTGGTCGGAGAGCGAAGAAAAGTTTGACTATAAGGGGAAGAAACAACAGTGTTTGATTATTCTGGAAGTCAGATCAAGTCGAGTGGATCAGTAGCCGAAGGCGAGTACAAAACACCCACCCCTCCGCACACCTCTTGAAATGCTCCCATATGACCGGGCGTCTTACATAGCCTCTCCTGAGGAAGTCCTACTCACTGCCTTCACGTGGCGGCGGTGTTTCTCACCAAAGTGAGAGGGCGAAAGCGGATGCCCGGCGCTCTTCACCGGGTTGACTGTCCATTGGATGACAGTCTAGGGAGATGGCTAAACCCTGATTCCAAACCTCCAACGACTGGAGTATAAAGCTCACTGGAGCTCATCGGCAGACGTATGGACAAAGGGCTTATTGGATGTCTGGCCCCATTCAAAAAGGCGTATGAACCGAACTCCGGTCACCGGCTGCCAATGGACAGTGGACTCCCTACTCCACTCCTACTGCCTTGTAGGTCATACTTGGTTGCGTAAAGGCTAGAGCTGCACTCTCAAACAAAAGGTCGAGCGATGCTGGGGACATCACTCGTACCAAATTCCCATGAAACTTCATGAACTCTTGTTCATGAAGCCGGTTCATCCTCCCGTAGGAGATAGCCGAAGTAAAGTAAAGTAAGTAAGTAAGTACAAAACACTTGTTTAGTTTTCATCGAATCGCTCAACTTGTGAAGATGCTTGAATACTCACTGGGCATCAAGTGTAGCGTTAAGTGTGAAAACTTACAAAATGGCTGGAAACAACACATACGTTACTTAAGAAAAGTCAAAACAAGGCAACTAATCAGAGTTTCGTCAGGAAATGTCCATACAAATAATCAAATAGGGATATCTGCTAAGGATTGAATGGGATCAGCAGTTGATAGCTACTCACATCATCCATTAGTGTTTGTCAGATAACCAAATTGAAGTGGTTTAAACACCGGACAGTTGTCTCTCTCGCTTGGGGCCAAGCTCATCAGAGATGTGTCCCGTTTGATTCAGCTCCTGGTTACCTACTTGGGCAAAATGGTTGCAAAATAAATCGAATTCGCAATTTATACATTTCGAGGTGATTATTTCATCACAGTCCTCTTTGGAAAGTGAATTAAATTGGCAAATTGCGAATTCGATTTATGAAATAACCCAATAAAATCAACGGAAGAATATTGCTTTTAAAAATGAAGAAAATTTCAGAGAAATTGGGGAAATTATCCACATTTTTGGATAGCTGTATCCTTCAAACCGACGAAAATGTTCAAGAAACACACGAAAATCAGTAAATAAAGAAGAGATGGAAAATTTAAGTTGAATAAAACAGCTGCGATGGTCACCACACATTGAACAATCTTTTCGACTTATAGCACAACACGTTCACTGACATTAGAAGAGTAGTTAAACACTAAGTTAACCATCAACGCACAAGTAATCACTAAGTTGAACTGAGAAATTATGAAAGTTGCTTAAAGTGTAGGACAGAATTATGGTAAAAATGACATCAAAATTATTTAGAAACTAATGAAGATAAATTCGTCTCACGTTTGACAATGAACAGATATCAAGCCATAGAGTGCTTCACAGTTGTTTCATCCTAGTTTGCAACTCTTCATCGGTATGACGCCCACAGGGGTTCAAACCCAGGACTTTCAGATTACAAGTAAAGGTCGTAGACCGTTCAGCCAACGTCGTCGGTGAGTACTTAAACTCACACGCATTACTTGCTGCTGCAGGCCTCCAGTGGTCCCGACTTCTCACCAAAAATCCAGGGTTTCGGTAGTTCTCTAGCTGACATCAATCCGTGATCAAACTGGAAACAAATCAAGCCACTCGCCTACAAACTAACCCTTGAAGAAGAATTTCATTACTTTGAGCCAATTGCCTCTTTTTATTATTACTCTAAGGGGACGAAATCTTAACAAAAGAAACATTGAAACTCTCGACACCCTTATCTCAAAATAAAAAAGCACAATAGAACATTTGAGTGTTGACCTTGAGATATTGATCAATCAAGAATATCAAAACTAAAAGTATTACATATTCCATTGGCGAATTTGAGAGATAGAACGAACAAACAGTAATTTAGGTTTAATATAATAATAATAATTATTATTATTATTAATTTCATAGTCTAAATGATTCACATGAACTCTGAATGAAACAAGTAGCGAAAATGTTTAGTATTACAAATATGTGTGCTTAAAATTAACAATGATAATAGCAATAATGATAATAATAATAAATATGACCTGAAATCAAATTTTAATAGAGAGTAGGACCGACTGTAGCACTATTGTTAACACAAATTATTGTTTAGTAAAAAGCACAGAATTAAGTTCAACTCTCTATGTTCTTAAAAGATGTCTAATTTATAGTCGACACAGTATGCATTAGTCTTAGATAAACTAAGATGCCAATACATGCATACACACATACATACATACAACTAGTTTGGCAAAACTCAACAAACAAACAGACGAACACACAGCGTAATACTATTTGAATAAGCATTATTTATGCGCATCTCTACTATAATCTATTGAGTGGTCAATGGATGTGACATGCTTTCATTTTAGAGATTATAATAGTACAGAATATTATAAGTATTACTGCGTTGAGTTCTGCGTGGAACATACGGCTTCATCAGCATTTCTCGACTTTGTCTTTTTTCCTGAAGTCCTCTTCAATTGCTGCCACGATCACCCATAAGCCTTCATCTCTCCTTCATGTCACCCTCAAACCAATGCACAACTCTCTTCGTTTCCTATTCGGATCCCACTCGAGTGACAACATGGAGTGCGATGTCACCTGACAGCCTTCTTAATGTACGTCCGATACATACATCTAAATTTCCTTCGGAATATTTGTTGAGCAATAGGTTCTTGATTGATCTGTGCCCTGCCAAAGTTTTCTACTGATTTTAATTCCTCCTGGCCGACCATTTAATCATCAGTTTGGAGGCAAAGAAGTCAGTTATTGATAAAAAAAACAATCTGCAGCCCGTTAGAGATGCTTTTTGTCGAGTTTCTGACCCATCGGGGAAGAATCAACTGGACTGACACTAGCGTTGAAAATCGAAATTTTGTTCCTTATGCTGTAGAGTGCAGCAGATTTTCATGCTGGCATCAGAGTGATTACGGTCTGTTTTGCCTTTCCTATCCTTGCTGGCTTTCACATCCTCATCAGTGCCACCTGCAGTTGAGACGATGCTTCCTAGATAAGTGAATGAAGTGACTGACCTGCTTCAAATTACTCCCGTTGATAGCAGTTGGTGCTTGTTGTTGTTGGCCAGTTATCTTTGTCACCACCATCTTCTCTATGTTTACTTGAAGTCCTATCCTTGGCTACGTCTTCTGTCAGCTTGTTAGTTTTCGCCTGTGAGTCTCCGAGTTTGTGTGATACTTGGACATAAATCGTCCGCAAAGTCCAGATCTTCTCGAGTCTTCTTATCGGTCAGCGCAGCGTATTTCCTGTCTTTTCACTTTCTGTACACAGTATGATGCATAATCCCGTACACCACAATTAAGAATATCATCGGTGATAATAGGCAGCCAGCCAGCTTATCTTACTCCAGTATTCACTTCGAATGCGTTTTCCGTTGTGGATCACCCGACACATGAGATTGTCACGATAGCCAACTGTGGAATGAGGTTGATGAAGACTTAGACACTGCAAATCACAGTATTGAAGTAGTTTCCAAATTACTTCTCGATGGACAGTGTCGAAGATCTTTTTGAAATCGATGAAGTTGAGGTAGAGCTTTGACTGTTTGATGACGTCCATCGATTTAGCTAACTACAAACGTTCGGTTGAAATCTAGTGTAATAACTGGACAAGTACGTTGTATTGCTCATCACGTCCAGGTCACTCTACTCCCGTCTCGAAAGATGTCACTGCTTAATCTCGAATTAAAAAGTAATACTAAAATATCTCTCTCAGTAAAACATACTTCTCCGCCAGTCTATGAGTGACATTTGTTTGCAAGAAACAAGTCAGGCCACTAGGTGAAAGACAACTTGTCACAGTGCACCGCATCAGAATGCATAAACCAGTCCACTCAGCTCTTGTGGAGCAGAGTAGATTGGCTGTACCATGCTTCAACTCGTAAAACACTCTCTTTAACATTATCCACAACCTGGCTGGTAAAGGGTGAACGTAGGTGTGCATATACCTCGGTAACACAACATCTGGCGAACTTAGGACATTCAGCTTCCATCTAATAATTCCTTGGAAGTCCTATACAAGATTCAAACAAACTTATTAAAGGGACTGATATCAAAGCATCAGCCGGGGTACCAGTTATCCAAAAGTTTAAGCCAATGCTATGTATTCAAAAGAAATACGACTAGTGGGAGCCAAAAGTCGAATGTGAGCACAAATACTGGACTAACTGTCTGAGTTTCAACACAGAAGTACATCAGTTGCCACACTTAATGAAGGTGAAAGAGATTCAAAAAGACTAAAATAAACAGAAATGGAAGGAAGAAAGAATAGTAACTTGGAAAAAAACACGACGGCTTAGTGGATATGAGAGATTACAAAGTGAAAACATCAACGCCATTGGAAACAATTTTGAGACATATCGCCAATTGTTTTTCGCCGTTGGTTCTTGACATCCCGAGGACCAGAACCAGGAAGCCTACCTTCCCTACGCGGTTGGCTCAAACTAACTATCAAAGATCTCATCAACCAACTCCAGGTTTTGGTTTGACCAAATCTAACTCTTCTTCAACGTAATTCTATGTCAACTAATATTGCGCATCGAGGAAGGCGATGCCTAGGCATGCGCGCAACACGTGCCCTAGTCATCTCAAACAATTCACCTTCGCAACCTTATTGATTGATTTTCCCTCCTTACCTAACGATCAACGTCTAACACCAATGTTACTACTCAACCTATTAATTAACGCGGGAGACAGAACACAGACAACTAGCTTTTTCTCACATATATATTCGATTTTTAACGGCCATGTCCCACAGGCACAATCGAGGACGGAGCGAACTGTTTCACAGTACACACACGTCCTTCTGTAGACAGTTGGATATCATGTCTACGCCAGAGATAATGTAAGTGGGGAAATGTCACACGGGCCTTTTGTGTCTGTGCTGAAATTTCGTCACCAATCAGTCTACTGGGTCTGATACAACTTTCCGAATAAGTAAAGTGATCAACATGCCTTACCACTCATTCACTTATCTTTGAGCTACGCGTCAGCAGACTCTAGTCGCCAATGACACTCTAACTGGCGGTGGGGCGTTAACTCGCTGATTGACAGAAGTTAGAACTCACAATCTAGCCATTGGATTCTGTCTTAGTGGTTGAATGCTCGAACGACTTCGCCTCGTAACTTGAAGGTCTTGGATTCGATCCTTAACGGTGGGATCACATGGATACGTACAGATGAGTGGCAAACTAGGATTTTAAAAAAAGCCAATTAGTACTCCTACGCGGTTTTAAACGGTTCCCCTAACTGATATTGTAACAACAGAAGACAAGGGCCAGGCAACAGATCGTTTTATTATGAAAATCAACACTTATTTATACATATTTCAGACAACATTATTATAGACAAGCGCAGTCATCTGATTGGTTGTTTAGGTAGACAAACGCAGGCTTCTGATTGGTTGTTTCGGGATTCCTTGACAAACAGAGTTCTCTATCTGCGAATCATATTTTGCCACGTTAACTTCGCTGTGATTGGTTGTTGACTCAGCCTTGTTCACGGCCCATATTAGTGACCTAGACCTTAACGTAGATTAGTGCCAACCAATCGGCTAGCAGCCTGCTCTCACCACACTCGTCCCCCCGTCAAATACGTGCGACTGAAGTCGGCTTGATCTACTTGGTGCAGGCGTCATCGTTGGCTTGTCTCGCTGTATCCATTTCTGGAGCTCGCTGACGTTCACGCGCCTCTCATTGTTCGCCATTGCGACTGTGTCTGCGTAACCCCATCTCGAAGTGACCATATATGGTCCTTCCCACTTTGGAAACTGTTTGCCTGACCCTGTCGAACATTCGTCCATACTTCGGCCGACACCTTCATATGCTGCTTTCACCCGACCTCCCAGCAGCGTCTCAAGTAGCAGCTCCATCGCTGGCAGATCTTGAACGCCACTCAACTGCGCAGAAGCCTTGAAGTCCTGCCCGAAGATCCATATGTCTCCATCAAAAACTGCAGGGTATAGGCTTTTCATTTGTCGGTAGGCAGCGACACCAAATGTAACAACAGAAGACAAGGGCCAGGCAACAGATCGTTTTATTATGAAAATCAACACTTATTTATACATATTTCAGACAACATTATTATAGACAAGCGCAGTCATCTGATTGGTTGTTTAGGTAGACAAACGCAGGCTTCTGATTGGTTGTTTCGGGATTCCTTGACAAACAGAGTTCTCTATCTGCGAATCATATTTTGCCACGTTAACTTCGCTGTGATTGGTTGTTGACTCAGCCTTGTTCACGGCCCATATTAGTGACCTAGACCTTAACGTAGATTAGTGCCAACCAATCGGCTAGCAGCCTGCTCTCACCACAATATCAATCCGTGGTCAAACTTTTAACCGATCAAATCACTACAAACTAATACAAAAAATAAATTAACAAACCAAAGATGTGTATGTATGTATGTGTGTGTGTTTGAATGTTCACAAGCGTTAAAGTACTTTTTATTGCAAAAAAATCACATTTTAACTTCTTTTTTTTCTCTTTACCTTATTAGAATCAGCTGGATCACATTCAATTGCTGTCACACGACAATGACGACCTTTTGTAGTACCAGATTTGATTGTTATAAAAGTTATGTATGACAACTGTAAAATTAAGAGAATAGAAAAACGCCGGTGATTTTCATATATATGCAGATAGTATGAAAGTATGTGTGTATAAGTGAAACTTGTAAAGGTGACATGATTCAATATACTAGGGTATTGTGACGTATACCATCAGAGGGTAACCATTCAAAGGAATGCATTAAACAATTGGTGAATGGTGGCTAGCAGTGGAATCCAGGATGCGCATTTCGTCCTATTTGGGACTCGTCAGCTGGATGTACCTGCATTTCTCAGCTGACGAGTCCCAAATAGAACGAAATGCGCATCCTGGATTCCACTGCTAGCCACCATCCACCAATTGAATACTAATTAAATACCCAGACATCGTCGAAGCATCTGCACAAGAAGCCAACATGTCAACCTGAGACCGAGCACTTCGGTCCAATCAATCGACGGGAAAATCAAAAATTCAATTCAAGAATGCATTAAACCTTTAGTAATGGAATATACAGTGAAACTACAAGAAGTATATTAATTCAATAGACTGAGATTGATTATACCGTTTTAGTCCAACTGTTACTGACAGTTAGTGTTGAGTTGTACAAAATCACAAGTACTGGATCAAGTCATTATAAACGGATGACATTCAGTCTGCTAAAATCACTAGGATACAAAATTCATTAGTTCTTCATCAAAATGCAACACAATGCATCTTTGATTCGCAGTTTGTACCAACATCCATTTTCAAGAAAGTTTCGACCTACATTGATTGGACACTAATGTCATACAACTGATCCTTTGTTTGGTGTAGACTAAATTCTGTCAATCTAATATGTAATGCAGCCACAGTGTTATGTAGATCGCCATCAAGGTGCACTCTGAAATTGTTGTGATAGCATCTCTAATTGCAGCACTGAGTGATACGGGTTTGGATCTCAGTGGGCCACACGATTTCTTTCAGGATTGCGAACACGCCTTGCTGACGAGTGTTAACAAGCACGAAACCTAGGTCCATGACTCCCTACCCGATCGACTAAAACCAACTAACGGGTTAAAACCTACTTATACCATGAGATTTTCGAAGGAAATCGTCTTGCTGTTACACAGCACATCTCAAATGATTACAGTATATGTCGATTATTGCAGTTACACCAAAGAAGGTGATAAACCAATGTACATCAAAACCTGAATTTTCCTAATATATCCATCGTTACTCACAGATATTCTTAGGAAATGAAAGATGAGTACTTAATCATTCTATGGTACATATCCAATGTAGCTACTGAATTACACCTTTATATATATGGGTGTTCAAAGGAAAGGTTTCTGAATTTCATTTTCGTCATTAGTGGGAAACCACCATAAAAGACTAGGTACGGTCGACGAAGGCTAGACTTCGTTCTTAGTCCCGGAATTTTCTCATGCGGCCATGCGTTCACAGCATTTGCCAGATAAGTTCTGTTCACTGACTTCATGAGGCAGCGATGTTCCTCGGAGCGTCGTACAACCTGACTGGTGGACGTGCCGGTCTATCTTGGATCGACTGGAAAACACTGATTCCAAACAACTGATGTACATGGGCTCCAATATTCAAATAGGCCAAATGGAATATGAGCCTGTTTTGGTCACCAAAAACCACGAGGACGTAGGTACTGACGTTGACCCACTGCTTTGTGGATCAGGTTTCAAGTAGAAGGCTCTGGGGAGGTACTTTTAGACAACTTCCTGCCTCGGTCTGCGTGTGGAGACAGTATACCAGCCCCCGCTCACAAACAAAGTGATTTTTTGTGATGCATTTCATAATGCCCATTATGTACCAGGTTTGTTTTGAGAGAAGTAATTAGTGAGAAGAGTGGTGTGTTATAAGGAAAATGTCATTGAAAATAATGAGTTAGAGAAAAATATTTAAAAAAAACTAGAATGTACCACTAACGTTACAAAAAGTGTTTCTCGTTAGCCGCTGTATACCTCAAATGTGACTATTGATTTACACATATATGCATATGAGCTGTAACTCCAGCGACTGCAGTTTTATTACATTGCTGGGCCATGAAAATGTTGTTAATTTCCCAACTCGACAAAATACTTCACTTGATTTAGTATTTAAAATGATTCTGGAATATACGAAGCTCGTAAAAGAGCCCCGCTCTTCAATTCTGATCATTGTATTGTACGAGTCTTACCCAAAATTTACGGAAAGTTACACAGTAAAGCCCTCTCAAACTTGTCTAAGAAAGTTGTTCACAGATGCTACTCAAATGAGAACGTACATCATCTTAGAAACATGCTCAGTGACACAAGATGGGATTTGTTTAATGATGATTCACTTGATGACAATATCTCTAATATTACATCCTATCTGAAATTCTGTTTTGAAATCTGTTGTCCAAAAGAAACACTATTCGTCAAATTTGACCGTTTCTCCTCGCCTCAACTTAAAAAGCTTCGTAGAGAGAAGGAAAAACTATATAAGATGAAAGATAAAAGTGGTGTAAAAAGAACTAACTTCTTAATTAAGTCTGAAATGCAGAGGTTGAATGTAATATATAACCAGAAATTCATATCCTGCAAAAATCCTTCTAATATGTGGAAACTATTTAAGGAAATCACTGGTGGTAAGCAGATAAACAATATTCCATATTCTTTTGATGTATGTACTCTTAACAAATCTTTTATTTACTCTCCCTCAAATGCCATGCTTCCCAGCATCACTTGTGTTAATAATAGCCCCTTTCCAGGTTTTAACACAAATGATGTTCAAAAGTGCCTCAAGTCTCTAAACCCTTCCCAGAGCTTAGGTCCCGATTATGTACCTAGTATTATTTTTAAAAATGTTCTGATATTCTGTGTCACCCTCTTACTGATCTATTTAACAAATCTTTTTCCGATAATATTGTGCCTGCCGTTTGGAAGGACATTAAAGTTGTACCCATACCTAAATCATCCACTGGAGCATGTGTCAAATTTAGACCCATTGCTATTACGTCTCCTTTTTTGAAAACTATGGAGAAATTACTTTTACTTAGTCTTGAACCTTCGCTTAAATCCTTTAATGACCCTAAACAATTTGCCTATAAGCACAGTAGAAGCACTTTAGATGCAGCTGCCGTCTTATATCATAACATTGCTTCCAGTCTAGACAAGGGGGCTAAATTTGTTCGTTGCCTTCCTAGACTATACATCTGCTTTCGACTCGGTCCCTAGGGACATCTTATTAAATAAACTTGCTGCTAGTCAAACAGAATGTTGGGCTGTTAACTGGTTACATTCCTATTTCTCAGATAGAAAGCAGTACACCGTATATAAAGGGAAGTCTTCCACTTCATTGCCTACTGAAGCTGGTGTCCCTCAAGGCGCTGTTCTTTCTCCTTTTCTTTTTTCTTTCTTCTTGCATGACTTGCCTCACTCTGATGAAATAAACTTTGTGAAGTACGCTGATGATTTAACGGTTTCAATGGCTGTTAACTCCCAGCTAGATTGTACTAAAATAAATAGCTTTCTATCGGGAGTCAGTAAATGGTCTGAGTCTAACGGTCTCAAACTGAGTCCTAACCACTGCACGTCGGTGACACAGTGGTTATGACTCTCGCCGACCATGCACATGGTCCGGGGTTCGAGCCCACGCCGACGCATACCTGATATCTATGGTCGGCCTGCATAATTTGGGCCACCGATATCCATGCTGAAAATTCCATACTTGTATCAAAAATACAGTATGGAATCAAGCTGTAATCAAAAATAAAAATATGGAATGTCAAACTGTTAATTTCAGCTTAAGATGTAAAAGACAGTTAAAAAAAAGTTTTCGATTCTCATGACAGTTGTAAGATTGACGACAATGATATAGGAATCAAATCAGAAATTAATTATCTGTGGCTTATTCTCTCTTCTGATCTCTCCTGGAATTCCCATGTCTTAGTGATCTCCAGTAAAATATTCCGCCTGATATTTTGCAATAAGAAGTTAAGGCACTCGGGTATAACTCAACCCATCCTCTTACAGTTCATAAACTCTTTCATCCTACCTATTCTTCTTTATTATTCACCCTTATTCTTTCCTGGCTTGCTTAAAAAGGACTATGTCACAATTCGTAGAATGCTGAAGACTGTCAGTAGGGTGAGTGGTGTCCCAGTGGACCACATAGTTAACGTCGTTGTCGATAGGCACTTGACTTCATGCAATAAATTTGCTAGAGGGATTTTGTCTAACTTGGAGCATCCACTTTACTTACTCTCCGCTTTCACCTTGCATCTTCTCAGGTAGAACAAGAAATAAATTCAGAAAACTGTATGCTCGCACGTCTAAGAGTAAAAATCCTATGATACCATACTTGGAACGTATTTTATGTGATGAAAATAGTGTCAGGCAAGAATTAACTAACCTTCTTTCATCTAGTCAATAAACAATTTCCTCCATCCATCCATCCTTATATACCTTCAAGTTTTACTTTTATTATTTCTATTATATTTATGGTCCTGTAGCTTCTTTGTTTGTTTTACTCTCATAATTGCATGCACCAACTTATCTCCATGACTGCTGTAACCTTCGTTTTTCCCCTCACCATATCATGTAAAGAGAACATTATATTCAATATTTTTAAACATGCTAGGATTTCTATGCCGCATTGACAATACTGTGTGAAACAAGCTCACGGTAATTTTCACTTGTATTATTATTATTATTACCCTAGCTGTTATCATTATTATTGCTATTTCCATTCTATATGCTGCATGTTTTTGACACTACCTCTATTGTAAATGTGGAAAATTTTCTGTGTGATTAATTTTTATTTATAATTTGAGGAAATTAGATGCGATATTGTGATTAATGCTGAAAATTCCATTCTGTATCACAAGTACTGTTTTTGGAATAAAGTAAATCACTATTATTATTAAAAAATTTAAAGTTATAACCCACTCCTGAATAATGACGCAACTGAATAATCAAAAACAACCTATTCGAATAAATTATCTATCCACACGTCTAAAATGATGACACTTCCTGATTCACAGCTATAACTTTGATATTGCCTTATTATTATTTTCCCTTAGGTTTCGAGTGGAACATAGAGCTTCGACAGCACATCTCCATTTTATCCTGTTTTTAATGCACCCCCTTCCACAACTGTCGATAAGCCCTCGTCTCCTCTTCACATAACCTCCTCCATGTCACCCCCAGATCCGTGCCTAACTCACCGTTCTTTATTCGCGTTCCATTTGAGGAGCTACGTGGGGTCCAATGTCACTCAAAAGTATCCTTAGTGTGTTTCCAATCCATCTTCATTTTCTGATGCATGTTTGATGGGTGATAGGTTATTGTTAGGTTCGCTCTCAGTGTTTTTTGTTAATTTTCCTCTCTGGTCACCAGTCTGATCTTCAGTATGGAGTGCAGGCAGCTATTGATGAAAGTCTGCAATGGCCTGATGGAAATGCTTTTCGCGACACACGTGTCAAGTCTCCAAACCACAGATATGGATTGATTTGACATTAGTGTTGAAAATCTGAATTTCGTTCTTTAAGCCTAATGCAGCAGATTTGCACACCGATTTCGGAATAATGAAAGCCTGTCATTGTTTTTCTTTCTTGGCTTTGATACCCTCCGTGTCGTCCGCCCGTAGTTGAAACAATGCTGCCTAGATAAGAGAATGATGTCACCTTGTATACATTTCTCGCGTTGATAAGTGATTGGTGCTTGTTGTTGTTAGTCATCCGCATATGTCTTCTCTATGCTCACCTGAAATCTTGTCTTCGCTGTCTGCCTCTCCTACCCAATTGCTGGTTTTCGTCCGTATATCTTAGAATTCGTGTGACAGTAGACACAAATCGTCCGCGAAGTTCAAATTTCCTAGAGTCTTCTTCACGGTCCATCGTATTCCAGTCTTTCCGCTTCCCGTATTACTTTACCACTTCCGTAATGCATGACAATAATACCCCATGTCTTCTAGATAACTCAAATGCATATATCACGCAAGCATAATGCACAGATAGAGAGAGAGAATTAACTAACCTCACTATTGAAGAACAATACACGTCCATCGTATGTCCCGACAACAACTTTGGTACCTTCACAAGCAAATGTTGCACAAGTAATCACTGTTTTAGGTCCCACACCACCTTTGGATAAACCAAGGATAGATGTTGTATACTGTGAATTGTTATATGGACTAGAACGTGTAAACAAACTGGTCACAGTATTTGATGAAGATGCTGAAGACAGAGAAGTTGTCGAGACTGGTAAAGCACTCGGTACAGGAACTTCAACCCAAAAACGAACTTTTTTATCAGGAATATTCCATAGTCGAAGTTTCCCGTCTAAACTTCCAGACAGGAAGTAACGATCATCCTAAGAATAGGAAAATACATTACAAAGAAATAAGATTGAGGAATTCAAATAAATATACGCGTGACATCTATTCACATAAATAAATGCTTACATTTTGGCTCAAATACTAGACGGTTTGGAACCCTATTCCATCGATAAGAAGATTGGTAACTAGGTGCCACCAGCTCTTTACACAACAATTGCGACTCGTAGCCTGGTACCGGAAGAACACCTGTTACGGGGATATTTTTTATTTTTATTTTTTTTATTTTTGATTACAGCTTGATTCCAAACTGTATTTTTGGTACAAGTATGGAATTTTCAGCATGGATATCAGTAGCCCGAATTTCGCAGGCCGACCACAGATATCAGGTGTGCGCCGGCGAGGGCTCGAACCCCGGACCATGTGCGTGGTCGGCGAGAGTCCTAACCAATGTGCCACCGACGCACATGAGTTCCAACCCTCAGTTATTATGAGTAACAATCTTTCACCTGAGTAAAACAAATCTTCGGAAGTACGCAACCAACGGGGTTGGAACCGAAGGCCTTCCTCTTACACGACAAGCTCAAAGAGCATTCAGACACTGGGACCAGAACGTCCAGGGGTTCGGATCCCGAAGGGTGCATACTGACAATGAGTTCCAAACTATGAGAAAACAGCTCTCCATTACCTCCTAGATTTCAGCAGTTCCGTAATTCATATCTATTCGTGATCAAACCAACACTTAAAAATTCAGCCGATGCTTACTAGTCACCGGTTACAGGACGAAGCTGATCGGAGTTCTATTGAGAAGTCATGACCAGTGGGGTCTACTAGGTCGGGTGTGAAGGCAAATACCTACATGCTAACGACATTCGCTGATGGTCATGCTAAAATCAGGAATTGGTAGAAGTTGGAATTCATTACTTGGCAGCTGAATAGTCTACGAGCTTGTCTTTGTAACTGGAAGGTCCTTGGTTCAAACCTCCGGGAAAGGAGTACTGCCAAAGAGTCCTAAAATAAGTCTTTCAGACTATACTAAGTGGTCAAAATTTTGAGCGAAACCACGTAGCAGCTATCTGTATTCTTATTATATATCTAGCTTAAGTCCCAAAAAAGAATTTAAGAAACCACGGGATATACACAAGGAGAAAGAGAGAAATGGGCAGGAAACTTATTATTACCATCACTTTTTTTCTATTTCATTCTTTTGCGTTAAGAGTGAAACACAGGGTTTCAAACTTAAGCTTTGAAATTTCAGTAGTAGTGATGTTCATCCTAAATTTTGGAAGAAGACGGGGCTGCTAGTCTCATACTCAACAATCCTTCCAATACCGGCTAAAAAATTTCAGAAGCGTATCGGCCGAGGATCGAACCACTGACCACGTGCATGCTTAGTTGTTGAGTATTCTAAACACCTAATCACCGACGCACAGTCAGGAAATTATTTAGGCCACACACTTGGAAGTTAAGAATAGATGTCCAGAAAAATTAAAAGCAAATTCAACAATCATTTACTCTGTGTTAAGAATAAAAGGTACCACAAGTCTTACCAACAACGGTTTTCTTTAAGTATATATATATATATATATATATATATGCGTATTACGGAGTTATTAAGATTCGAAACCAAATATATGAGAAAAGGTACATCAAGACGTCGGCTGCGTCGGTGGCATAGCGGTTAGGACGCTCGCCGACCATGGACATGATCTGGGGTTGGATCCCCGGCTGACACACTCCTTTACCAGAAATAATGCTGGTAAAGAGGAAAGGTTGGGCATGAGGCTAGCAACCCCATCCTGTGAAAATAAACACTGCTACAGAAACTTCAAGCCACTAGCTTGAAGCCCTATGTTCCACTGGGGAACATGAAGAAAAAAATGACATCTGTGGTTCAGTTGTAGGATGCTCAACAACCACACATTTGATCAGAGTTCACAATTCACGATGGACACACTCTTAAGTTTCTTTCAACCAGTAGTATGTCCGGCACAGAGGGAAGATTCAGAGTAAGGCTGGTAACGCTACCAGTGCTACTGAAAATTCAAAGCTCCAGCATGAAGTCCTATGTTCCACTCGGAAGGCCAAGGAGAAGGAAGAAAGTTAAGACAACATTAAGCAACAGAAATAAATCTGCTTACATAGGTGTGATGATGATAATACCCAGTAGTAGGTAGATGGGACAGGATTCAAAATCAGGAAGAATTTGCTGGGTGTTCGTTCAGCTGACATAACATTCGGTTGGAAGAGTTGGACGTGATCGAACCATAGCCTAGCATCAATCCATGAAGTCTTTCACAGTTAGTTTGGACCAGCCACGTAGGGAGGCACCGATTGTCTAAATGAAACCTTCGGTAGGTTACAAACCAATGGTTGGAGACTATTGATGTTGTAGTATAAAATCCATCTCAGTAGCGCAGATCTATTGCCTATTTGCGATCTTCTATATAAATTAAACCCTCATGTTTTTCCGCTTTATCACTCATTCACCCTGAAATTTCTGCTTATTACAGTTCTTTTGAATCCCTTATGTGGTAACTTGAACTCATTCAGCAGTTAAGTACAATCAATCAACTTTTACTGTTATGTATCGTCCGTTCTCCAGACTAAAAACGACAATGCTTTTAGATTCTATTTCTAATGTATAAGTGCATTTATGTAGGTAAACCGACTTCTCATATTTTATGCTAATATCTGCCACAGAGAAAATGCGTTTCCATGAAATACTAATATTTCTTCTTAACCCACTTATGTAAAAGAAAGAGTACGATGAAATAAATTATACAAAAGGACTACACATTTTGTTGTACCGCCTTCTAGGGGAAGTAGGTCGGAGCTTAGGCGTATCCTAAATCCTTACACAACATGAGTGTACACTGAAAAGCGATTAAAAAAGCATCTATATCCACACCTGTTTTAATATTATGAACACTTTACTTTCACATCATTCGGAAACAGTAAAACTTCACTATCCCCACCCCACCCGACACCATCACAGTTCACTTGTATTAAATTCTCGCAAAGTTATTTTTGATCCAACCAGTAATGAGCTAATCAAAATTGTACTGTTTCTTGCATGCATATTCTTTAGCTGATTCTAACCTAATAATCATAATAGATTCACAGCTTTTTATCCAACCTGAATATATACAATGCTGAATAGCTATTAATAGATTCAAAATTATAAAGATGATTCTTCTCGTTGAGAAGAGGAGTGTAGTTGACAGTTGTTACACATATAACTGATTTAACTACGATTTAGACCAGAAATTTTCACAGAAAAGTAATACTTGAAGTTATCACACTCCATGTAGAACCCCCCCACACACACACACACACATACACACACGCCAAAAATAAGTAAATACAACATGCAAAAGAAGTATATTTGAATGAAATATGAGGCAGAAAGAATAGAGGGACATAACGGCTTAGTGCATCTGGCAGAATACAAAGGAGTAAATCCATCTCTAACAGTAAGAACGAATTATGAGCCACATTATCGGCAGTCTGAACCTATTACGTCGTAGCGTCCCAAGTATTTCACCGATTGATACTCTTTTAACATGGTACCTGGGCTGGCATATAGATATGAACTAATGCGCTTCACTGACAGGCAAAAAAACATACCTCGAGGTCCTAACATACGGGAAAAACAGTTCAAACGGCAATAAGAAAACCCAAACAAGTGATTCAGTGAACAGACTCTGCTCAACGAATTTATTATCAAACTGTACAATCCTATACATTTTCTATAGTTTGGTTTGTAAGGGTTTGTTATGTTTTTACGAGTTGATCACGGATTGATATCAGTTAGAGAACCATTGAAAACCAGGGAGTACTGGACAGCTGTTGTTTCATCCCAGTTTGGGAATCATTGGCAGTACGCCAATTGAGCCATTGATTATATATATATATATATATATATATATATATATATGATTTTGTAAGAAATTATATCCAGTGAGGGAATTGAATTATAGGTGTGAATGCATAAAATAATAGTGGTAGAATGAAATGTAATTAAAACTAAAATGTTTGTGATCATAATCGTAATCATGAAAAATACCAATTTATTCATAAGTAAAAACAGTTATCTTTTTTGTTCAGCGAAGAAATTTCTTTTCAACGACTGTACAGCTTGAAAATGAAGTCCTTGGAAAGAAATTTCTTCGCTTAACAAATAAAAAACTGTGTTTTTAATTATAATAATAGTTAAATGTCAAGTGGCAAAGCAAATTAATGTCATATACAGAATAATTCATTGGATGGATAGAACTTGAAAAAGAATGTGCAATTATAGGATTAGTAGACAAATCGAATAATATAAAAACGTTTCGTAATACTGTGTGAAATTTGATAGCATAGAATTTAACTTTGCAAAACAGAATTGATTTAGAATGACAAGTGGAAGAAGTGAAATAATACCGGGGACAGTTCAAAGTGAGAATAGTAATAGTAACAATTGACGTAATAAAGGAAGAGTATACAAATATAATAGACAAAATGAAAAAAAACTTGTAAAGCCAAAATATGGGTTACGAAGAGGTGGAAGTGGAGCAATAAGAAGCGCAATCATTGAACATCTGGTCGATAATGACCACCCTATCTTTATAGCCTCTGCCTTTAAAGTCATCTGCAAGGCAAAAGGTTGTTTACCGGAATTACTACGTACCCGACTCATCTGTATTGCTGAAGCTTTGGCTATCAAAACAGAAAAGCCGGATATCTGTGTACAGAAAAAGTTCGTTCAATCCCTCCAACTTTCATGGTCTTAATCCCTCTATGCTAAAGTATGGTAATCCCCAATCATAGTTTGGCTCTACCAATTTTTTTTCTTTTTGTGTATTCAGTTTGTAAACCATTCCTTTATAACTTCAATTGTTACTATTACCAGTCTCACTTTGAACTGTCCCTAGTATTGCTTCACTTGTTCCACTTGTTATTCTAAATCAATTCTGTTTTGCAACGTTAAATTCTATTTTATCAAACTTCACACAATATTACGTAACGTTTTTATATTATTCGATTTGTCTACTAATCCTATAATTGCACATTCTTTTTCAAGTTCTATCCATCCTATGGGACCGCTCTTAGCGGGCGTCTTCATGGTAAGCTTAGAGAATGACCCACTAAATAAAACCATCGATAGTTTGTTTATGTATAAAAGATATGTTGATGATACCTTCATTGTATGTGATGAAAACCCTTCAACTGCCGAACTTCTTAGAATATTTAATGGTTCTCACTCATCTTTGCTTTTCACGATCGAAAAAGAGTCGAATTCCTCGTTTCACTTCCTTGACGTTAAGCTTGATAGAAGAGAAAATGGAACGCTGTTAAGGTCGATTTACCGAAAGCCAACATTCACAGGGCGGTACACTAACTTCAACAGTTGGGTACCTTTAGGGAGAAAGAGAAATCTCACTCATTCTCTATGCTCCAGAATTCTTAAAATCTGCTCTACAGAGACAATCGATAGGGAACTAGAGATAACCTCCGATCAAATCTCCTTAACAATGGTTATCCTACAAGGTTTATTGAACGTAACATCGAGAAAGAATCCGCCCCGAGACAAATCACAGTACCAAAGAAAGAGCTGTTTATGAGTCTTGCATTCAAAGGTGACACCATTTCGGAATTGATTAAAAATCGTTTATCTAAATGTATTAAACGCACTTTTCCTGCAGGTGACTTGCAACTAGCTTTTATCAGCCGAAATATGATTAGACAATGCGTCAAGGATGGATTACAGCTTTCGTCCACATCTATGTGTATTTACTCTTTTACCTGCTTTTGTGGAGCTGATTATATTGAACGTTGTAAGCGTAATCTCCGGAAATGTGTAGCTGAACACTATCCAGTTTGGTTAATGAAAGGCGAACGTAGAACTGCAAAGTCGTCTATTTGTGATGACCTGTTAGAGTCTGGTCATTTAGCCCCACGTAATTCGTCCTTCAAGGTTATCTACATGGCAAAATCGAATCGATCGAAAAGTTTACGTTTTCTTCACTTATGCATAGCCGAAGCTTTAGCTATACATGAACAGAAACCTAAATTATGTGTTCAAAAACGTTTTGGCGAACCCCTTTCTTTACCTTGGTCATAATAATGTTCTTTCTAGTTTTATTTTATTTTATTTAACAACTTGAATTCATTCCACTTCACTTCACATCTTTATTTTTAACGTAATCGTACTCCAAATTTTTTTTAAAATTTTTAGACAACGTTTGACATTTTTTTTAAAAGTATTTTTGGTATCAATTCACTTATAAAATAATCTTTAATAGTGTTGTAATTTATCCACTTCAACTCTACCCCTTTTAACATTTTAATTATCGTTATTCCTATCACACATAATGTATATTGACTGAGAAATTATTTAGTGCCACTTAATAACCTTTTTCTGTAATATAAATACGACTGTACAGCTTGAAAATGAAGTCAAGTCGTTGAAAAGAAATTTCTTTACTGAACACAAAAACTGTGTTTTTACCTATGAATAAATGGGTATTTTTCGTGATATTCTATATATGACATTAGTTTGCTTTGCCACTTAACATTTAACTATGATTATAATCACAAACATTTAATTGCATTTCATACTATCACTATTATGTTATGCATTCACACCTGCAATTCAATTCCCTCACCGGATAGAATTTCTTGGAAATCATATATATATACTATTGTACAGCTTGATGATGAATTCGTTGAGAAGAGTCTCTTCGCCGAATTACTTGTTTGAATTTTCTAATTGCCGTTCGAAGAACTTTTCCGGTGTGTTAGGACCTCGAGGCAGGTTTTTTTTCCTATCAGTGAACCGCATTGTTCATTCCTCTTAATACGGACACAACAGAAACAACCATCTCAAACAGTTCATGTGCAACTGGCCTCAAGCAGTTGCCCTCTGGGCTTCACATAACTGTAATGCTTCTTGTCTTTTAGGTATTTAACAAGAAAATTGTGGCAGCGTGGGCAGCTGGGAGGCAATAACCCACCCCCTCCCATTCCCTGATGCACTGAAAACTTTCCCAGGTAACCATTAAACAAAATCCATAGAATGGATATAGTTGGATTGAGACTCAAAGATTAGAGAGTATTTTGAAACTAAACATTTAATACGAGAAAGGCTGATGAAATTACTTTAATTTTTATGTTTACGGGAGAGGAAATAGTACGCTTGAGAACTGTACTGTTGTCTAGCCAAGAACATCGTGATATGCAGTTATATATTGTGTACTATGCAATAACATTTTGCATAGAGGAAATTCCCTAAAGATGTCTCCTTACTCAATTGCCTACATTGGCAATCAGATTCCTTGTGAAGAAATATAATGGTCAAACTTGGAACAAATCAAATCCCTACACACAAACTCTTGTAAATTAATATGACATTACCTTTGGATGAAATACAATTGTCGGTACAGTATCATTATGACTAAATACACAGAGACATTCACGTCGACTAATATGCCAAAGACGAACTTGATGATCCATACTAGTTGCTAGAAGGAATAAATTTTTTGACCAGGCTAATTCAGTGACAACACCTTCATGACCTCTTAAAACTAGCAATGGTTTAGAACGGAATACAGTTTTACGTTCTCTTTGTGAATCGGATACAACAATCTGAGGTAATGATGCTGTTGATGCTGGATTCATTACTATTGCCGGTACAGATATTGGATGTTTTAAATTATTTTTTGTACTCCCACAACTGGATGATGGTGGTGAAGGCCTATCATCAGTGACGCCAAGATGAACACCAGAACATCCGGGTGCAGAACTGCTACTAGACGCTCCATCCTGGATTAAGAAAAAAGGAAGGCGGGGGTGGGGGCGGGGAGAAATTGAAAATTTCGTTATGAAATATACAAAAGAATATATCTTAAAGCAAACAAATTAGTAATTAATCAATTAATTTATTCTTTTGCGTTCCGAGTGGAACATGGGGTTTCAAGTTTGACCTTTGAAGTTACAGTTGTAGTTGTTTAATTTTTATGGGGTGAGGTTAGCAACCCAGGACCACATGTGAGCGTTCTACCACTGCACCACCGACGCACTAGATGCATATCTGCAATCCTGAAGAAAATCACATGCCTTCTAAGATCAATCGGTACAATCAGTAATATAAAGTCAAACATTCATTCCTGAACTCAAATATCAAGGACGTGAAACCCCATATTCCCTGTATGACATAAAAGCCTCATAGATTTAAACCATAATCCCTCCAAATGAGATCAGTTATACACTAATTTTTTTAATCATATTACAGTTTCATCCAGGAAAAATACCCATCCAGACAACGAAGACAGAACAGACAGTTCAGCGAAGAGACTTTTCCGTGAAGTCACTCACTTAGCTATACAGTCGCAATTATATACAATTATTTTTTTGGGGTATTTGTGAACATTTAATCTGCCAATCATAGCACACGAAATAAAAATTAGTTTAGACTATTAATTGATTGGTAGCAATCGATAGGAAGCTCAGTTTGACCTAGGTTTAGTGCTTACCGACACTTACCAGTCACCAGCAAAGCATATCTGCAATCTCGAAGAAACTCATATATCAATGTTGGTGAACATAGAATCGTTTGTTTGTTAGAACTAGTCTCCACATTGACAAGAGACAAGAAGGCTCTCATTGCCTAATCGTGTACTGGTTGGCAGACTGTTGGAGAAATACGATCAGAAATATTCTTATACATTTTATTAACATTTATTTACAGACTTTGGTACTGATTCACCACTGTAAATCGTGTTGCCCAACCGTTTTCTGTTGTTCCGTGTCGGTGTTACAGTGTATAGTGATCTGAGTATTAAGCTTAATCTTCTGAAACCAGCAATAGATCCAGGTTCTCAAAGATCTGGATATTTGACAAGTCATGTCCCTTCCGAGGTTAGAACCCATGTCATCTACTCAGTAATTCAGTCAGAGACGTTACCACTGAGCTATTCGTGTCCGTGGTTGACCTTTTTGTAGGACTATATCGGATACTTTGATTGGAAACTACGTAGCAAGTAACTAGGGTCATGCGTCCGGTCCTTGGTGTTGGTGCAGACTGAATTCTACCAGTCAAGTTTACAATGTGTATTGGGTATTATTATTTTTTTATTACAGCTTGATTCCACACCATATTTTGGTACAAGTATGGAATTTTCAGCATGTGATATCGGTAGCCCAAATTTTGCAGGCCGACCATAGATATCAGGTGTGCGTCGGCAGGGGATCGAACCCCAGACCATGTGCATAGTCGGCGAGAGTCCTAACCACTGTGCCACCGACGCACATTTACATTATCAAAATATTTCAAAGGAGTGATGAACAGTCAAGTTGAAGTTAAAGGGGTGGGTGAGTGGAGATTAGTAAATTTACAGTAAGGTTGAGTAATATAAAACACAATCAGAAAAAAACTGGATATTAATGAAAAAAACAGCATGGAAACAAGCATCAAAATAAATTATGTAGCCGGCGAAGAAAGTGGACAAAACGTTAGTTAAGAAAATAGGATATTAATAAACATCAGAAGAAAAATGCAAAAAAAAACAGTATCAATAATGAATGGCTGATACCAGTGGAATTTGGAATTATACCTAAGGTAGAAGGAGGGGATGAAGAGGTCTGTTCTTTATACATAAATCTACGTTTCCCATCTAAATCGATAAAGCCTCAGTTTTGCAAAGTATACGGAAGTATACTGTTGTTTTTTTTCTTTTTGAAGACTTCTTTTGACTGTGTAGATAACTTTGAATGAGTTTGCTTTACATAGTGAATGGCTAGGGTTGAATATATATGTTCGACACTTTTAGATAAAACACGCATTGAACGACCCATATATCTGACACCACAGAAACAAGTGATACACATAAAAGTGGTCCTTAGAGTTACTGAAGTAGATTGGACGGCAGAAGAATACCGATTTTAATAGAGAAGCAAAAAATGTTGCTATTGTTTTCACGACGTTTGATATCCACTTCTTTAGAGTGTGTCTTTGAATGTACACACGTAAAAAGGGAAATAATTACGATTGTGCAATCAAGCGAAGCGAATGAATTCGTTGAAAAAGAGTCTCTTCACTGAACGGTTTGTTCTTATTTCCATATGAAGTTCAGAGTTTCATTTTTTTTATAAAATATGCGTAGCCCATTTATAGCACAATCCATAAACCTATATATATATATATATATAGTCGTAGTATTGGATAAACCAACTCTATGATAATGATGATATATCACTATAACTAGTGTCCTCATGATAAACACACATAACTGAACTAATGTTTACAAAACCATGACTACAAATTTAAGCAACCTTTGTATGCTATATACGAAAACTACACACTACCTAACCTTCTGCCGCACCATACTCCCTCACCTTTCTATTTGGTACAAAAACAAACGTACAGAATAGTGAAATTTGTTAAAAGAGAAATCAATGATACAGAATTCTACTCACAGCTTCACTAAAGTCAGTTTTACCTGACGTTGATATCGAGGTTGATGCCAGACTCAGTGTATCCAACCGATTTTCTTCATCCAACATCACATTTGATACAGTATCGTTATTTGCAGTATTAAAGGTATTTGTCATGAATGTATTCACTGAATTGTATTTGGTATTAGTAGGAGGTGGAGCTGAGATAAAATGAGAAAGATTTATTCATGAACTTGGTACACAATATCGGCACACCAAACGATGCGTCAGATAACAATATATAGGGAAAATAGGCAGGGACACGCCGCCATCCAGGAAGCAAAAAAGCATGCTTGTCAAGATCATTCAACATTTATCAGTTCGTGGCACTTTCAGATGAGGAAGAAAGAAGGAAATAGCGGCATATCCTCCATCAATTACGATTTCTGGCAATATCTAATAGCCTTTTGAGCTACCGACTCAAACTATGTCTCTAACCCCAGTCAGGGAGTCATGATGCAACAGATGAAGCTAACCTACACAAATATCTCCTATCCCATGGCGCTATCCAGTCAAATACCGGTACGGAGGCCTCTGGGATGATATTCATAGTAGCACATCCCCAAGCCACTGAAGCCAGTGTTTCTAGACGACAATATTCAATGAATGATGACCTCGACCGTTTCCAAACACACCATGTCGGAACTCTAAATTATCTACACGAAAATTTCAGTGGACGCAAGCGATTTCACGTAGACAGAGACGATCGAACACGCAAAGTCATCGCATATCCTCAGTTCGGAGAGATGTAGAGAAAGACCGCGCGCAGCGCAGCATTGTGAACCTATCGTCACGGTGCCAAAGGTGGCTTAAATTAACATATACCAGTTTGAATTACATCATTTGAAGATAACTAAAAAGCAAATTAGGCTAAGATCACTGGTCGAAAATGTATTCAAAATTTGAGATAATTAGCATTTTTCGAAACATCTAAACGAAGTATTGAATTTGTTGTAAAGTGCTGTTTTCGGACATAACATGCAAACAAATAAAGTTGCTTGTGTTGCTATAAGTGGCTTGTAGCTTAAAGGTGCAGTCGAATTGTGCTTTACTCCGCTAGGGCATTAACAACAGCCTACAGGTTAAAATTCAACTTTTACATTTAGAAGAATGATTTATTAGTTGGCATTTTTACGTGCACATTCATGCACTTCATTAGGAGCCACACATTCTACATATATAATATATAATGATTTATGATAATATCTGATCGTCAGAATGTTACGAAGTTATAATATGAATTCAAAGTAGGGACCCACTTAGTTGTAAGCCAAGTAGATAAGTGATATATATATATATATAGGCGGTAGGGATGAGGATGTACAAACCAGAATCGGAATGGCAAGGCAGACCTTTATCAGGCTGGAAATATTCTGCACTCTATAGCATAAAAACAAAATTTGAACTTTCTACAAAAATGTTAAGTCAATCTGTATTTCTATATGAGTAAGATGATGCTACAGGACTGGACTACATTGACTCCTAGCTTAGAAACAGACAGTGAAAAAGTGGAGCGTGTTGACCATCCCACTTATTTAGGAAGTTGCATCAGCCAATGTCAGTAGGTTGATGACTGACGAAATCTCAACACGGATAAAGAAGGTTAGTTTCGCATATGCCAGTTTACGCCGTCTCTGTCGTAGATGTGATATCCAGCTATCGACCAAATGGCGGGTTTACTGCTCAGCAGTCCGCTCCGTCCTCCTTTATGACTGTGAGACATGGCCATTGAGAGTGGAAGACATGAAAAGATTAGATGTCTTTGATCATAAGTGCCTCCATCATATCTCCCATGTGAAAAGGTAAAATAGAGTAAGCAATATCCAGGTTAAATGTCGAGTTCTAGGTAAGGAGGCGAGATTAATCGATGAGATTGTGAAGTTACACTGGTTGAGATGGTTAGAACATGTGTTGGCTGACATAGGATGGATCAGGTTGGAAAAGAGCTAGTGGTGGTCAAATGAAAACATGGCCTCATCAGTCTATGAAATCCACAAAAGTTAGTTTAAGCCACATCGTGAGCTGTGGACTTCCTGGTTGGGGTCCTCGAGACGGTAAAACCAATAGCTGAAGACTATCGGTGATATGGCTCAAAGTCATTCTCAGTGATGGCTAGTGTAGATGCATCCACTCCTTGTGACTTATAATATCCAATAAAACTATATTGCTCTTCGTTATTACTATTCTTTTTGTCTCATTTCACTGTTCACTGTCTGTTCACTCTATTTGGCATTCCTTTTTACTTTCTTCTCTTGCTTTGTGTGCCAAGTGAAGTGTGGCGACTCGAACTGCTGCACATCGGTGTGAAGTTCTATGTTGAAACCCAGTTAGTCACTACTACGCGTCACGAAATACATTTCCAAAAGGCCATTGTAGACATTCATCAACATCTCCGTTCACTGATTCCATACTGAAGATAACAAGATGGCTGGTTAGAAAAAATTAGCTACAAGAAACTCTGTGAACGAACCAACTGTTCAACAAATATGGAGGAGAAAAAAAAGATGGATCAGGAACAGGCTGAGGAGATCGCTGAATGACATCGGGTACCAGGCCTTCGAGTAAAGCCAGAATAAGGAACAGGGACGCCATGGAGAAAAGATTGTATAAGGAGGAGATGAGGGACTATGGTCAATCGTTGGGGCAGTTAAAGAGGACTGCAGATAACAGGACAAAATGAGGATGTGCTGTTGAAGCCCTATTTTCCACTTAGAATATATATATATATATATGAGAAAAAAACTACTCACTAGAACTTCGTTGCATTCCCTTGAAATATGAATAACACTGGCGTAAAACCCATATTCGAATATTCCGATCATATCCAGCAGTGGCCTGGTAGTTGTTTCAAAAAAAGAAGCATTCAAATAAAGGAATATAAGGCAAAAATGAATAACAATCATCAACAAGATGAGTTTCGAAATCTGATAAACATTGAGGTTAGGCGTAGAGTTCTAGGTAAACAGGGGAAATCAATCGACGAAGTCATGAAGCTACAAAGACTGAGATGGTTAGGACATGTGTTACGTATGCCAAGCCATCGCCTCCCTCGACGAGCTATGTTAGCGGATATAGGGTCAGGCTGGAAAAAAGCTAGCGGCGGTCAAACAAAAACTTGGCACCAGTCAATGAAATCCACAACAGTTGGTCTAAGCCAGCCACGTAGGAAGGTGTAGACTTCCAGGCTGGGGTCCTCGGGACGGTAAAAATCTATGGTTGGAAGCAATTGGTGACATGGCTCAAAATCGTTCTCAGTGGCTAGCGCAGATGCATCCACTCCTTGTGACTTATGATCTCCAATGAAACTGTTTTGTTTTTCTTTATTACTCCTTTGTCTCACATCTCTGCTCACTGTTTCTGTAATGCTTTTCTTATACTTTCTTCTCTTGCTTCGCGTGCTACACGGAGTGTGGCGACTTGAACTTCCGCACATTTGTGCAAAGTTCTATGTCGAAAACAGACAGACAGATAAGCATTCACTCCGATCACAATAATAGTAATAATAATAATAATACAAAACGGAAGAGGTGAAATTTTCATTCAACATATTCTATTGTTTTCAAAAAATACCTTATTAGAATAGCAGAGGAAGTGTTATATGAAGACTAGAATTTATTACTATGGCAACCAGTTAAAGCATACAATGGATTCAACTTAACATTCAACCCAATATCAGATAAATTAAAGGAAGTAATACAGAATTTATGAATTTGTAGGTTCAACAGAAGGTCTGGGTTAAGCAATAGTGGGTGGCTGTATCTGTTTCTTTTGCATGCCAAGATTCAGTTGATTTAAAAGAATTGCAGTGCCTTCCACTGTGTTTACACTGTTTGGTATCTAGAGGCCAATATGCACGATAGATGAAAGAGAAAGATTCCTCAATGCTGCTAACACTATGTGGTCAGTTTGGACAAGGTGATCGAGTATAGGACTACTGATGATTTTGTGACAACGCCTTTATTTAGCCACAACACACTTGTAAATAAGTGTTCCTGAACACGAAATATTCAGTTCCTACAGCAACGGCCAATATAAAACTGTCTATCACATAGAGTCATATAACTGTAGAACTTGATGACAAATTTATCGAAAAGACTTTTCTTTGTTCATTAGTCAGTCTTTTAAAGGTTTTGCAATGGTCATCTTCAATCTAAGTGAAAATTAACTGGCAGACTGGAATACAACAATTTCGCAGCATACATCAAAGTCACCAACAAAAGACACAGTATAAAAATTCTGCAGTGGCAGTATATGTTCACAACACCTTTGAACAGATACATTCATGTGAATGAGACGTAAAAGTACAATCAATAATCAGCTTAAAAGATGAACAACAATTCCTTATGTATTACAAATCTACTACCACACGAACTGTTGTTAGTTTACGTTTAAGCTACTATTCGAACTTTCGCTGCCTGCTAAAAGCTTGAGGAAATGTTTCCAGATATTGATTCGATCTAAAGAAGATGAAGCTAAGATTTACTGTTTCGTCTGAAGATTAACAACAATATCATGATGCCATAATTCTTTTTAGTTCACTGTTAAGTCACCACGTCGGAGATAACATCTCTCTGCACGTCTGAAAACAGCATTTGAATAGAAAACAAAAATGGTCATCTCAACGGCGTTCGTTTGGGGCTTTGAACAGGATTTCAACATCACTTAGTCTCTATACAAGGTAGATTAAATATCTTTTTGGTAGGACTCGTCCTTTATATTATCCAATCGGTAGGCATGTACGGAAGAGACTAGCTTTTTGTTATAAAATAATTGACACCCAATTTTAGAGCTGCAGACTTTTGAAGGTTTATAATAATGATGTTGTATAACTACTGCTGAGAAATCAACGCTGGAACGAGATTTGCACCATTAAACTCGTGAGAACAAATTTCACAATTGGTCAATTCATACTAGGTTTGAACCTCGATGGGTGAGGACTCCTGAAGAGTTCCACACCAGGAGGACAAAACACCTCTCACTAAATGATGTCAGCTTGTGATCAAACCTGTAACTAATCAAATCCCTGAAAACCAACACCTGATAAACAGATTTATATACCATTTGGTTAGACATAAAGTCTGAACAGTTAGAAAGAGAGTCGTTTACAAGTCATCTGAAGACCTAGACTGAATAGAGCAATTAGATACTGTTTATTAGCGTTCATGTATTCGCTGCATAAATTCACTAAGCACCGACATTATTTTGGCGACATAGCAGACCACCATTAGACCAAAAGTAAGAATTGATGCAAGTGTAAAACGTGAGTTTATATGTATGACAAACTCAACAGCAGACGGAATCCAATTCACTTCTGAGTTAGAAAAAGAACAGGGTGAGTTGGCCATGCTAGACTTTAGAATATAAAACGAAAACCCGATGGTGGGTTGGATACTAACATTTGCAGGAAACTGACACATTCCAATAAGTACTTAAACTTTAATTCATCTCATCCGCAGTCAGTAAAGGTAGGTTTAGTTAAATGTCTGTATAATCAGACCAAGAGCCTAACTAGTAAGCCAGAAGCTTTAAATAATGAAATCAAACAAATAAAGGTAGTATTACTAGTGAATAACTACCCACTAGAATTTATTCACAAATATATGAAGCATAGGAAAACTAAGATTAGCAATAACAATGACGAAAATGACATAGACTTCAAAGCCTCTGTAGCACGTCAGAGACCTTACGTAGAATTCTAAATGACGCTGGAATTAGGATTGGTATTTAAACCAACCAGTCAACTCTCTCAGAGATAAACTTTATACACTTCGGGTCCCAACAGATCCAATTAAGAAAATAATATAATAGCTGTCAGGTTAATTGCATAAGCGAAACTAGTAGACCGGGGTCAACTAGATTATTGGAGAAAAAATCTAGCTAGACCTAGAACAATTGAACCTGTCAAGTTAGATTACCTACAAAGAAGCCCATGTATCCATTTGCATGTAATCCCAAAATACGGTGAGTGGTACAAGGTGAGAGTACTAAAAAGTAATTGATATATATATCCATATAATATGTGTGTTTGTTTGACAGTCTGATATATTTTGCTATGTATATATGGATCGATATTCCATTATAATTAGCCAATCATGTTAAGACTGTCCATTGATTTGTTCATTTTGAATATTCGCTCACACACTTGTTCGGACATTCATATTTTGCTCTCACACTCTTGTGTGACAGATTGATTCTCCTGGTGTTTGGAAAATAGAAGTATCATCGCAAACCTAGTGGTCTTCTGATTTCCGTCTTTCTTGCATCAGGACTATTAAATTCTCGACCAGTACATAACAATAATTTGGCGACGAGTACATAACAGTAATATAGTTAGGTGGAGTAAGAGAGAGGTTAATCAATAAAACTTGGTTTATCGATTCAACACCTCACACCGCAGAGAGGATTTAACCACTGAATAACCACACTCTGGAGAGTAATAGCCAAGCTGCTGTATATTTCATCAAAATCCCTTAAACTGGTTTGTAATGTCTCTGTACTCAGATACATGATACAACCCTTAAAGCGCACTAATATTTCAGTACTAAATATGTTACGAGTCAGTAGATATGAGATCCCAAGTACAAATTATGTGCTTGCTTAATTCTTCCCTAGGAAAATTTGAATACACGTCACTTTGGTTTTGTTGCCACTGAACCTGTGTAGGACAACATAATACAGATAAATTTGTCCCCGGCATAAAATTCGTTAGTATCAATCAAAATTTATCGACCCTTCATATTTAACAGATATTTGAAGAGTCTTCAGGTGTGAAGAGTACGACATAAACTATATTTATGTATAAAGTAAGTGTTAATATATGAAAGAAATCAACTCACTAGTAGTCGACCACAAGGTGAAAAACGCATAGCCCATATAGCACCCTAAAACAGAAAAAAAAGGAACAACCATAAAGTAGGAGACAGTTATTCAGAAGATGAATGTTGTCGTGATATTTTGAAAGATTTTTGCAATCCTATCCACCGAAAACCTCATAACCACATTGCGAGACCCTTACTTAGCAAGGCAGCTTACACCTCTGTGTTTATGTGGCTCCAAGCAACATTTAAAGACCTTATGTAGCAGTGTTTGCCTGACTGACTGGTTTCAACATAGAATTTGGCATAGAAGTAAAGCAATTCAAGTTGCCACACTCCATGTAGAACACAAACGAAGTAAAAATATGGAGAGAGAGAGAGAGACTGCAAAGAGTGAACACATTTGCGCCACTGACAACGATTTTGAGCCAACCATATCACCAATTGTCTGCAGCCACCGGTTTTTACCATCCCGATGACTCCAACCAGTCAAGAAGTCTATAAATCCTGACGTGGCTGGCCTAAACTAACTGCTGTGGATTTCATTGACTGATGAGGCCATGTTTTGGTTTGACCATCACTAGCTCTTTACCAACCTGATCCATCCTATGTCAGCCAACATTGCCCGTTGTCAAGGAAGGCAATGACTAGGCATGCGTAACACATATCCTAACCATCTCAGTCGGTGTAGCTTCACCCCCCCCCCCGCCCTGCCCTTTTACCTAGCACTCGGAGCGAACTGCTGAGCAATACACACTTCTTACAGTCAATGACCCGATAACATATCTATGCCAGAGATAACGTAATTTGGCGAATGCCATTGTGCTGATATTTCGTCAGCGATCAGCTCGTTGGTGCTAATCTTAGGCAGAAGTACTATGCTTTTGCTCTGATCGCCACTATTTTTCAACCTAGTCATTTCTATATCAGTTAACGCTTTTAACTTTAGGCAGAACAGGGACACTATTTTACACAGTGAGAAAAGGTAATTCTCCTTTTATTGTGAATAGGGCGGGGTTTATTCAATTGATCGATTGGTGAGTCAGTCAGTAGTGAACAAAACCAGTAGGGAAAAACACTTGAACACAATGAGATAGATTATATCTCCTGATACACCACAACGATTATTTCTTTGATTGCTATAATGCAGGGAAAATAGCAAAGGGATATATGGTGATAGTAAATTAAGGAAATCTGGACCTTAAAAGGCACGTATGTAAAACAGTAATAACGATAATCATAAAAACAGAAGTAATAATAATAATAATAACGATAGACTGACTACTAGTAAGGCATATTAAAATGAGAGTGAAAATACAACAAAACCTCATGGGAGTTATAAGATTTGATAGTATGAAATATTCCCATATTATGAATTAAAAGTCAATCTGAACGAAGAATATTCTTTTCATTAATTTCTCTTCAGGTTCATACGATTATAAAATATAATACATTTGTTGTCATTACAATAAAAGCCAGTTATGCGGCGGATACATCTTTTTAACGTAGAATAACAGATTAGTAGTTATGGTGTGTGAAAATACATAGTTGTATTTGTGTGACAAACGTGCTAGGCTGCTGAACACGTCCAGACGCCGTTCCTACCGTGGTCAAACTTGGATTGATGATTATTTTTTTCACCAAGAGTGCTCCTTCTCCTTAACCCTCTTGGTTTTTTTTCCTCCGCTTATTATTACAATTATTATTATTATTATTCGTCATAATTTATGCCCTTCATGCAAACGTTCCCTCAATACTATCGAATTTTCCATTTATACTATTTGGACTTATTGTTAGTGATATTATCTGTTTTCTCAATATATGCGCCTCCACCTGTTTCAATTAACATATTCGTTATTTCACTATGATCCTCTTATTGCAGTCTTACTATCTCCTATTTAATGTATACCACTTTGTACTAACCGCTCACTCACCCAACACCTTTTATAACTTTGAACTGACTTGTCAATTTTCCTACCCCACACTCTACAAATCTATTATGACTAATCACCACCATTGTCTCTTGTTTTACAATATTTTGGTAATCGATTTCAACCTAGCACGTATGTCACACAAATACAACTATGTATTTTCACACACCATAACTACTAATCTGTTATTCTACGTTAAAAAGATGTATCCGCCGCATTACTGGCCTTTATTGTAACGACAACAAATATTATATTTGGTTACAGGATTTCATCATGAACTGACAGTGGTTAGAGAACCATTGGAAAACCTGGGATTACTGGATAACTGTTTCGTCCTAGTCCGAGACTCTTCATCAGTACGCACTCAGCGTGGTTTGAACGCAGGACCTTCTGGTTACAAGACGAAGAGTCCCAAACTAGGACGAAACAGCTGTCCAGTACTCCCAGGTTTTCCAATGATTCTCTAACCGATGTCAGTTCACGATGAAATCCTGTAACCAATCAACTAAATCCTTACAAACCAATACTCAAATATTATATTTTATAATTTGTAAGAATCTGAAGAGAAATTATTGAAAAGAATATTCTTCGTTCAGATTGACTTTTAAAATCCCATGGATTTGATTACTGTTCAACTACTCATGTCAATCAATCAGTAGTATACAGCTCAGGCTTTTTTGCTTATTATCTTGACTGCTATTTTTTGTATCAAGTAGATCAAATATTGGGATCTTAATAATTTCGGTTCCGAAAGCAAAAACTGTAGTGAAGTTTCACCTCGAACTTTGTAAATTGCAGATCGTGAATTAATTTGCACATTAGATAAGTTCATTTCATATAACACAACCACTGAGAACATCTATTTATTTTATTATTTTTTTGATTACAGCTTGATTCCACACCATATTTTGGTACAAGTATGGAATTTTCAGCATGTGATATCGGTCGCCAAAATTTTGCAGGCCGACCACAGATATCAGGTGTGCATCGGCAGGGAGTCGAACCTCAGACCATGTGCATGCTCGGCGACAGTCCTAACCATTGTGCCACCGACGCACAGCAGTAGTAACTAGGTGTAATTTAGAGCACACTTTATTACTGCTCATGATTATATCAGTGTATTCACATAACTTCCTGTCTTATTTATTATAGTCTTACTCCCTACAGTCTTATGTAGCAATTTATCCAAATATCCAATATAAGATATTGGAATAAGGTTACACAAAAATAGCACGTTAGGAAGTCATATTGTGTCGTGTGTTGCTGACAAGATTTATCCGTATTAGATGGTTGGAGGCAATCGGCAGGAAGCCCAGCTTGATCAGGGTTTCGTGTTAGCTGGCACTCATCAGCAACCTCAAAGGAACTCATGTCCCTTCTGAGATTCACTCAGTGCTGCAGTCAGAGCTATTCAGACTCGCGATTGACCTGCTGTAGGACTGTACTGGATATTTTTGACTGGACACTAGTCAGTAACTGCTGTAATGTGTCTAGTCCTATCTTTGGTGCAGACTCAATTCTATCAATCAGGCTTCCTGTGGCCGATTACCTTCAACCATCAAATAACAACAGTTCACTGTGCAACATGATGGTGAGCCACCTAGCATGGTGGCAACATTGCAAGCCTGAATTGGCAGAAGTTAGAATTCGTGGGCCATTGGATCGGGTCCCAGTGGCTTAATCGTATACAAGCTCCCCTTGTAACCAGAAGGTCCTGGGTTCGAATCCCGGTGGGTGAGTACTGTTGAAGAGTCCCAAACTGGGACGAAACAGCTGTCCAGTACTCCTAGGTTTTCCAATGGTTCTCAAACTAATGTCAGCTCATGATGAAAATCCTGTAACTAGTCAAAAAGACTTATCACTAGTATGGGAGGAGACGTTCATCGGTATAAAAATATCGAATAGCGGGGAGATAGATTTGATGTAAAAGAAAACAAATGATACAGCGTTGCGGAGAAACATGGGAGACGTGAAAGGAACACACAAAAAGCATAATATGAAGGTGAGAAGTAGCACAACACGGAAGATCTACGCAAATGGTGGTTTAAAGATAAGGTGTACATAATGTCGCTATATAGAGATACCATACTACTAATTTTCCAAATCAACATTCCTTTACCAGGTCTCTAGTCTTCTACCATTACAGTATGACATTCGTGTGATTATGAGCAATAAATTGTGATCAAAACTTCTTCCAGTTACTGTGTACTATATCAAGTTAACATATCTAATATGGAATTAGATTTCACGACAGTATCAAAATCCCATTCTTGGGTGGATAAATTTGCAAATTGTGAATATGATTTAACGCATCATCAGTTCGTCAAAGCAAATGGTTACAATTCAGATGGTTTGGACTGATTCATCTGTCTCATCCTAGCCATCAACCGAGAGCACCACTGATAAGCTCGGCTCAAAATGAGCAAAACGACTGTCTAGTGTTCAGGTCACTTCAATTTGACTAACTGGCTAGCAAGGAGTATTGGTTGATGTGAGCGGTATCGAACTACCTATCTCAGCTAATCAATCCCATGTATAATGTCCAGGAATCTCATGGATTCTGGATAAAAAGTAATAACCTCCCCCCTCTCCATGAAAAACCTAGTACGGTTAAAGGTGGTTACACTTTGGTCTTTCTCCTCAAATGATCTCATATGGCCACACGCTCATAGCCAACCTCTTCCAGATAAGTCATATTTACTGGCTTCACACGGCCGGAGAAGTCCTCCACAAAAGCGAAAGGGAAATTCAAAACATTTGGAGTTTATGATCGGACTGTGGGACATACAAGTTCGTTTAGGAGAGCTGGGAAAACCCTGACTCCAAATATGTGCTGTACATGCGCACCACAAGCTTAACAGATGGAATGAAGTATGAATTTATTTTGATCACTGGAAACAATAGGAACATCGTTCCTGACGCTGCCCCACACCACTGTGGATTAAACTTCAAGTTGGATACTCTGTGGATGATCCTTTTAGACAACCGCCTGCCTGTCTGTGCATCTGGGCAGGATGAGTTATTTTGTGGCGCATCTCTTGGTGCCCATAATGCATTCATTTGGTGTTTTAAAAAATAAAAAAACTCCCACCACCACCATATATTCCATTCAAACAATTAGTAACAAACTCGACATTTAAAAAAAAAAATAGTAATTCAATTCATTTTACCGTCCTTAAAATAAATTCCATGGGATTTATTCACCCTAACCAATACAGGATTACGAGAAAACTTATTCATGTTCCAAATGGAACATGGAACTTCAAGATTTGAAGTCTCAACAGAGGTAGTATTTTATTTTTACAGTGTGAGGTTGCTAGCCTCACGCTCAACATTCCCTCTTTACCAAACATTCTGGTAGCTAAGCGAGGTTTAGGAGCGCGTAGGCGTAGGCGCGCACCTGTACTACTTGCGCGGTTTGGCAAACATTCTACCAACGGACCACAAACGAAACAACATCATGGAGGTTAAGCAACCTGAATTAGGACGGATTAAACATTAACGATGTGAGTATGGGCTTTAGTGGTAAAGCCCAAAAAGGACAAAGGAGTTATCCATACATAGTAATAGTAGACACTGTTTTACAACAAACGACCAAGGTTTAGGATACACGGATAGATCAATCATTCATACATTCACAAGCGAGACATCTTCAACGACGGGCAGAAATCCTCGATGAATAGCTCCGAGGAACTTTTAACTGCTTTGTTTTCAGTTACCTACTATCCAGTAGCAGTCACAATGAGAGACTAATTCAGTGCCGTCAGTTTTCATTGAAGTTAAGAAAATGATAAGAAATCTGAAACAGAAGAGAGGGAGAGAGAGAGCAGCTTCCATTTGTTTGGTTAACACTGTTTCTTTAATTGTAATAAGTCACAAACTGAATTTACAATAATCTCCGAACCCCCAAGAGTAGGTTTGCAGGGATTTGACTTGTATTAAGTTTGATTACAGATTGTGATATGAATTAAAGAATCATTAGCAGAAGTAAGAATTCACGGGCTATTGGATCAGGTCTCAGAAGGTTCCGTGTTTTGAACCCCAGTGAGTGAGTTTTGATGAAGAGTCGTAAATTAGGACGAAACAGCTGTCTCTTGGTTCCTGGTTCTTTAACTGACACCAATCTATGACAAAACTTGAAACAAATCTATGAATCACTGCGTTGGGTTGCAGGGATTTGATTTTACCTACAAGTTTAACTACCAGCTGATATCAGTTAGAGAACGAATAGAAAACCAGGGAGTACTGGATAGCTATTTCGTCCACGGAGTTTGGGACTCTTTAAGAGTACACACCCTGTCGAGGTTCGAACCCAGGAACCCTCATATTATAAGACGAGCGCTCATAGACCATTCAGCCACTGGGACAAGTAAAATTACATTACCATAACAACTTACAGTGTGTTCATTTTTCATTTCTTGAACTAGTTTGATTTGAAGGAATTCACGTCTTCCTCTTGCCTGTCTAGATGACCTTAACTATACAGAAAATAAAGAAAACAAGGATAAATTTATCGATAAGTCATACTGAAAATAAATTCTTCATTCTGATATTCCTTAAACTATTCAATCCGGCTAAAATTAAAAATTTCTTATCGACCTAAAATTACCATTCTGCTGTAAAGAGTTAAAGGCATTAAGATCATACTAGAATACATCGAGTGAAATGTCTCTGTCTGTCTGTTTTCGACATAAAACTTTGCACCGATGTGCGGAAGTTCAAGTCGCCACACTCCCTCCTTGTAGCACACAAAACAAGAGAAGAAAGTACAAGAAAAGCATAATAGAAACAGTGAGCAGAGGTGTGAGACAAAGGAGTAATAAAGAAATACAAAACAGTTTCATTGAAGATCATAAGTCACAGGGAGTGGATGCATCTGCGCCACTGAGAACGGTTTTGAGCCATGTCACCAATTTTTTCCAACCATTGATTTTTACCGTCCCGAGGACCCCAGCCTGGAAGTCTACACCTTCCCACGTGGCTTAGACCAACTGTTGTGGATTTCATTGACTGGTTAGGCCATGTTTTTGTTTGACCACCGCTAGCTTTTTTCCAGCCTGACCCTATATCCGCCAACATTGATCGTCGAGGAAGGCGATGGCTTGGCATACGTAACACATGTCCTAACCATCTCAGTCTTTGTAGCTTCACAACTTCGTCGATTGATTTCCCCTGTTTACCTAGAACTCTATGCCTAACCCCAATGTTGCTCACCTTATTATGCCACTTTACACGGGAAATAGAGCGCAGGCACCTATGATCAAAGACAGCTAGTCTTTTCATGTCTTCCACTCTCAGTGGACAGGTCTCACAACCATAAAGGAGGACGGAGCGGACTGATGAGCAGTACACCCGCCCTTTGGTCGATAGTCGAACATCTCGTCTACACCAGAGTCGGCGTAAACTGGCAAATGCGAAACGAGCCCCCTGTATTCGTGTTGAGATTTCGTCAGAGATCAACTCGTTGGCACTGGCTCATGGTACTTCCCAAATAAGTGAAGCGGTCAACGTGCTCTACCACTTCACTTCCTATTTTTAAACTAGGCGTCGATGTAGTCCAGTCCTGTAACATCATCTTGCATTTGGCGGGAGCGAATCGCATGCCAAACATTCGTAGATTGCGGCTCAATGTGTTTATAGAAGGATCCGCATTTCGTCAGCGTCTTCGCCTAGAAGGACTATATCGTCTGCATATTCCAAGTCAACGAGATTATTCCCTGGTAGCAAGTCAATCCCTGAGTTGCTGAAGTCATTTAGGGTTAAGTCCATTAACACATCTATGATGAAGTTGAATAGCAAAGGGGATAATGGGCATCCTTGACGGACACCACTAGTCGTCACCAGTTCAGATGACAGCTCGCTGTAAGCCCTCACCTGGCTGTATGAGTACGAGTAGAGTGCCTTAATCAGTGCAATCCGAAACATCGAGTGAAATGCCAACACAATAGACAGTTCACTGCACATCAGCGATGAAAATCAACACAACTTACACGAATACCTTGATTTCCAATAACCTCTTCATCTTCATCAGACGACTCTTCGTCTGGATTGAAAACTAAAACAAAGAAAATTAAAACAAAAATGAGAAGTTCGAACCCATATATTATAACGGCTCACCAACTTGTTATTATAATCAACAGCACTTACAGACACACACTATACTTTCTATAAGTACCTGCAACCCATTGAAATAAGCAGTCGATTTGCAATATATCCGTCAGACGTTTAAGCGAAACACTAACTACCAACATTTAAGCAGCCGCCAAACAGTATCATTATTTTAGTGTGGCCATTGAGAGTGGAAGACATGAAAATATTAGCTGTCTTTGATTATAGGTGCCTGCGCCCTATCTTCCGTGTGAAATGGTATAATAAGGTGAGCAATATTGAGGTTAGGCATCTATCGAGTACTAGTGTAACAACAGAAGACAAGGGCCAGGCAACAGATCGTTTTATTATGAAAATCAACACGTATTTATACATATTTCACATACATTATTATAGCTTATGCAAGTAGACAAGCGCAGTCATCTGATTGGTTGTTTATCAGAAGTTAGGCAGACAAACGCAGGCTTCTGATTGGTTGTTTCGGGATTCCTCGACAAATAGAGTTCTCTATCTGCGAATCATATTTTGCCACGTTAACTTTGCTGTGCTTGGTTGTTGAATCAGCCTTGCTCACATTTCCTCACGGCCTGCTCTCACCACACTAGGTAGGCAGGGGAAATCAATAGACGAGGCTGTGAAATTACATCAACTGAGATGGTTAGGATATGTGTTACGTATGCCTAGTCATCGCCTTCCTCGACAACAGGCAATGTTAGCTGTGCGTCGGTGGCACAGTGGTTAGGACTCTCGCCGAGCATGCACATGGTCCGAGGTTCGATACCCTGCCGACGCACACCTGATATCTATGGTCGGCCTGCAAAATTTCGGCTACCGATATCCATGCTGAAAATTCCATACTTGTACCAAAATACAGTGTGGAATCAAGCTGTAATCAAAAATAAAAAAATATAGGGTCAGGCTGGAAAAAAGCTAGCGGAGGTCAAACCAAAACATGGCCTAACCAGTCAATGAAATCCACAACAGTTAGTCTAAGCCACGTAGGAAGGTGTAGACTTCCTGGTTGGGGTCCTCGGGACGGTAAAAACCAATGGTTGGAAAAAATTGGTGACATGTCTCAAAATCGTTATCAATGGCGCAGATGCAACCACTCCTTGTGACTTATGCTTTCCAATGAAACTGTTTTGTTCTTCGTTATTACTATTCCTTTGTCTCACACTTCTGTTTACTGTCTCTAGTATGCATTTCTTCTACCTTCTTCTGTTGTTTTGTGTGCTACAAGGAGGGAGTGTGGCGACCTGAACTGGCGCACATCGGTGCAAAGTTTTATGTCGAAAACAGACAGACAGACAGACAGACATTATCTTAGTGTGTTGACAGTAGTTTCTGCCCACTCACTTTATGTTTCTTTTATCAGCAATGACTCTCTGTATAGCAGCATAAGTGATTTCCAGAATAGCAGAATTAATTTCTCCTTAGGCTTAAAAATATTCCTTAAGTATGAAGTTGACGGCGCGTCAGTGGCACGGTGGTAGAATATTCGCCAACCATGCAGGTGGTTAGGGGTTCGATCCCCGGCCGGCTCACTCCTTTACCTTGCTAAGCCAGTAATAAGACTGGTAAAGAGAGGAGAAGGGACATGAGCAATCCCATCCCGTAGAAGTAATAAACACTACTGGTACCAAAACTTCAAAGCTCTAGCTTGGAGCCCTATGTTCCACTGGAACCGTAAAGGAATAAATATAATAATGATATACAATATAATGAACTTGACGCAAGTTTGAGTCTCTGAGGTGACATAAGTTTCGTTGAGGTTGCAGATTACCTTATTGGTGAGTGCCAATGAATATGAAACTTTAGTTCAGGGTTTCGTGTCGATCGTCTCCAACTATCTCGGTCACTATGTTAACATGTTAGCTACTGGTATGGATGTCTCGACGATGTCTGGGGATTAATGTCATGCTAATTTCGTTGATGATGATTGACTAGCAGTGGAATCCAGGGCGCACATTTTGTCCTATTCGAGATTCACCAGCTGGACGTCCCTGCATTCCCTAGTGAGTGATGATGGTGTTCCCACTAAGATGCAAACGCTCCACCTATCGTTTAGAACGCCAAAGTATTATCTACTGGGACACTAGGGTTATCAGAGTCACCTATTGTGCAACAGGTATCCGTTATTATTTGTGCTTTGCAGGGTCCGTGGCTCAGGGGGAACACCACTACTACTCATCGCGAATGAAGGCACATCCAGATGATGAGTACTAAAGAGGACGAAATGTGCCTCCTGGATTCCACTGCTAGTTACCATCATCTAAAGTAACTAAAATGTTGCCCATTTATAAAACTGTGTCTTTGACAGAGTATCAAATAACACAAAGCAAAAATGACAGCATTGAATAGCTGATTAACTAACTTTTATTTTTAGTTGCAGATTTCATTGCACTTACAGCGCCACGAAAGTACTTTTGAATTTTCAACATTTTACTGAAATGAAAAATAATAATGTAGAAAGAGAAAAAAAGATTAGTTTTATTTCAAGTCTGATCATGAGCTGATATCTATTAGTTAGAGGACTGTTGAAAAATCTCGTTCTAGTTTGGGACTCTTCAGCATTACGCACCTACCACCGTTTGAACGCACAACCAACCGGTTACAAAGAAAGCCAATAGAGTGGAACCCAATGACCCATCAATTCTAACTTCTACTAAGTTGGTTGTGCGAACGGATACTAATCGGTGACTTCGCCTTACATTTCACGAAGAAGTACATATCAAAGAACTCTTAATGCCAGTAATCTTTAACTCATCTTTTCTACACGACCGGTTGTGATTTGGAAAGTAAAAAGTGCAGTATCTAGGCTAGCATCTATCAACTGATCCTGTGGAGCCAGTTATATTGGCCGTTTCTCTAGGAACTTAATTTCTCGAGCTCATGAACACCTTACCAGTGTGGCATAGGGTTTCAAGCTTCATGCTTCGAAGTCCCAGCACCACCAATGGGATTTTCTTATACAAAATAGGCTTGCTAGTTTCACTCCTAACTCCCCTCCTCTTTACTGGACCTACTATTGGCTAAGCGAGATTCTTCAGCAGTAAGTCGGCAGGCAGTCGAATCCGGACCAAGTGCATGGTTGGCTAGAACTCTACCAAAAAAAAACCACCGGTGAATGTCTCTAAATAAAGATGCAGTAATAAAGAAGACAGTTTTACTCCAAATAAACTTTTATCTATTGTATAGTAATAGAAAACTAGAAAAAAATCAGTGAACAGTAGTGTCTCGTTTCGTCTCCTAGCTACGTTATTTTTAAGACTTTGCGAAAGAAATAGAGCTCCAATAATTCGCTGCCAAGGGGAAAGACTATAAATAGCTTAACGTGTCTTAAAATACGGAAAAAGAAGACTTTCATTCAACCTTCATTTAGCGCTCAACTGACTATTCAACACGTTTTCATGGCTAAGAAAAAAAATATAACACCGAAAAAATTAAGTTCCAAGGGATGAATACCTTCAATCGAAACAGAATTACCTCCGTCGGCGGTTCACGGGGTAGAATGGTCGAAATGACGCACATGGTCCGCGATTCGATTACCGGCTGACAGATTCCCAAACCATACACTTAGGTGGTAGTATGTCCGATATACGAAGGAGGTTGGGCGTGATTACCTCCTATTACTAAAACTCCAAAGCTCAAGTTTGTGGTCGTGTGTTACACTCGAGGAATGCAAAACAATAAAAATATGACAGAATAAAATAAAATACAATTACAGCGATATATTCCACTAGAATTACCACCACCGAAAGGAATAAAACGTTACAAACAATAAATCAATAAACTAACCCTAATACGCCGGTTGAATTTAGTTCACATGTGGTCGAGAAATCAGTTGACTGTTCAGTCAGTGGAGTGAGTGGAAGACTTGAATTGCTGAAGAAAGAAACAATTATGAATTACCAACAAATTGGGAGAAATACAAAACAAACTATAAATGAAATCTCACGGGTTAAATACTAATCAGGCAACCGTACACATGAATATGCATGCAATGTATATGAAAGTATTACCTCCTTATTGGCGACTACGAGAATAGTCGATGCACTAATCTGCAGCTTATTTCATAACTAAATAAACTAATTAACTAAATAACTAACTTAATCTATTACTTTGTGGAAGTGGAACTGTGTGGGCGTTTAATACTTTCCGGCTGTTCACACTATCGAAGTAGATTTCTTCTCGAGGTACCTGAAACAGAAGGAGTATTAGTGTTGTGTAAATGCAAAGCTCAAGGGGCAACTGCTTGACGCTAGTCACACACACACACACACACACGGCCTATTTGAAGTGGTTTTTCGAGTTGTGTCCATATTAAGATCTCACTGCCACAAGGTAAATTGGGATGTACACCTTTCAGGATCGACATTTTCTAACCCACTCCACTTCTCCGAAGTGTAGAGGCAGCATATCTGGCATACTAGTGATCATCTTCAAGGGAACACCTTACTGCAATTACATCCCTATTCTCCAATGATACAAATTCACCCAGAAACACCCAATATAGCTTGAACGACATACACTACGACGGTGAATGCTTTTAGTCTAACCGGTCTCGGGGATGAAAGGACCTGCAGGAAAATGAGTTTCAGACAGTGTATTTCATTAAGACATTGCAATATGCCAGCTCGACCATCACGTCAAGGTAGCGGCTATCAGTTTCGACCTCCAATGCTTTCTTGAAAGCGGTATAACACCGGATTCTACGAACGCTACGGCCTTTTATATTTTTTAATGCAAAAGATTTTCTGTACCTCACTACAGACGTCTACACTACGGCACACTAGGGTCGCCTAGGCTGAGGTAGCTGGAGCGGAACTCGAACCCAGGACCCATTGGCTGTAATTCGACTGCTTGAATCAATGACCCACTTCGCCACTCCTGATGAGAAGAAAGCTTTCGATTTGGTTGTGTTCTGTAAGCTGGTTAACTTAACTGCGGAGTTTTTGTTGTCCCTCTAGACAACATGACTCGTTTACATTCACGGTTGACCATACCGACCATAGCGAGAAAATCATCATTTTTATTCATAAATAACTTAAGAAAGAGATATCTAGAATTATAGAGGTGTGAGTGATCATCAAATTTTTGTCTTAATGTCTGCAGTGTGGCGTCGAAAGTGTGGTCGCGTGGATTTTGAGGCAGAATTATGTTGCAATACTGGTTGAATTCAGGTGGATCCAACTTTCGAAGTGGGAAACGCAATTTCCCGAAATCATTTTGGCCAGCAAAATCTATCCTGAAATTGTCTTCATATCACCTGAACCAAGTATCAAGTGTATAACTCTCATCAAGATCATAGTGGAATACACTAATGCTATAGTTAATTCCATCTATTAAAGGGACTATTACAGCTGGAGTAGTCCGGGACGACTCGACACTAGAAATTTTTGAGTGCGTAAACAACTGAATAGTTTTCATTTGTTGTTCGATAAATCTAGCATAACCATTGCAATTTTTACATTTTCGTCTTTATTCGACTGCTATTCCAGGGAGAGTTTAAGGAATTGATAGAAGAATGAAAGGCACATTAAAACCCGTGTTTCTGTGCAGCAAAACTCATGCAGCACCACAGGCTCAATAAACCGATCCACATCGGATAAGTACCCAGTTGATTTCACCTGTTTTTGGATTTACATGCACTTGCGTTAACAATCAGACAGAAGAAGCTGAACATATCTCAAGAAATTTGAGCCAAAAAAGAAGTATATACATTAAACAGTGCAAATGTGAGACACTTAGTACATACGGGATATTTACTTAACATCACTAAAGCCTTAAAGTATTAAATGTACATTGAATGTTGGGATTACCACTGTTTACCAAAGCAGGTGTAATAAAACGTTTTTTTCAACTGAACTTATACACATACAGAAAGCGAGTTTGACCAATTACTGATTCGATCTGGTTACGGTAGTTGTATAACTGTTCAGCTTACTGAACGGATCTTTATCCTAAGATCTGAAAATATTTGAGTAATTGTACAACCATGTAAGCTAGTATTCACTTTTTCTTCTATCCTAGTCCCCCTCCCTCACTCGCTTTACATTTCCTGGGCTTTCTTATTTCCTAATGCACATAAAAATATGGATGATAACTTGACTTGGAAATTGTAACTGTTAAATTTTTCAATACTCTGGATTTTAAAATCCCGTAACTTATCAGATTTCTTTTAATTTTTAGTATGAACATCTAAGGTATTTTGTTTTCAGTCTTTTATAACTATAGTAACTTCAAATTTCTTTCAACGCCTTACATTCTTAGTAGCAGAAAGGGATTCAGTGTTTGGAGTTTTAGTAACAGAGGTGTTATTTTCACGCGGTGGGGTTGCTACCCTCTTCACCAGGCCCACTACAGGTTAAGAAAGGTTTCGGAGTGAGTTGGTGAGGAATCGAACCCAGAACACGTGTGTGTTTGGTGAGAATCCTGCATTTGAGTCACTTCCGGTAGTCTGTAGTTAATAAGAAGTCGACGTATTTTTTGGCCCCCATAATCTACTAAGTTTGCTTTTTAATAAAAATATAAAAGAAAATTTAATTATGATAAAACACACGTAAGACCAACCTACCTTTTTGTACGATCACGGAACTGTATCTCAATAGGATTGACGGGCTGTTTTTCACTGTTCAGTGTAGCTGAACACGACTTGACCATTTTATCACCACCACTGCCACCACCACCTCCAATAGTACCATCACCACCACCGGCAGCAGCATAACCAATAGTAGATCTATTCCCCGATGTCACTGTATTACAATATCTATCACCATTAAATAATGTTCCTTCATTTCCCACATGGCTACTTCTTTCATTCAAATTTAAATCAGTTTGTACACTAGTACTAACTAGTCTGAGTGATTGACGCGAACACAGATCTAAAGGCTCACCACCAGTTCGATTATAGGTAGTGAGAGCAGTAGTAGCAGCAGCGGTAGAAATAGTCGATTGTGGGAATATGGATTCATATTGTGCATGATTAAATGCTGTGCTATACAATGACTTGATAGCAGTCGAGTCCAGTTGTTTTGTTGGATGTGGCGGGAGATTAGTATTTGCTATATCCAATTATGTATTTATTTAATGCCGAAGGAAAAGACGTTGATTAACAACAGCGGTTAATAATTATCTTAACGAATTAAAATTACTAGAGAAAATATAAGATAATGTAATTAAAATGCACTTGATTAACTGGTATTACTCAACAACTAATCACAGTCCTATGCAGCTGACAATAAGCCATACTTATTGTGTAAGGGCTGGTGATACTAACCGACTGCTCGAACCTCGGTAGGTGAAGTGAGATTCCAACCCGTGACCCTACTGGTCAGAAGCCCAACGCCATGAGCAATGTACAGTCCTAGCTAGAGTGGGAATTTCCAGCATATACAACAATACAACGCATAACATATCAACATAAAGCACCGCAATAGCACTGACACAAAAAAGTCGCATGAAAAAGGAGATGGACTGGACACACTCTGAGGAGACCTCTCAGTGACATCACATGCCAAGTAGACCCGCTAGTGGGAATCGACGAAATGCAGTTGGTCCACGGGTGACATAGACTACATCCTGTAGGGAGAAAACGACAAACAAAGAGAAATCATAGGGCCAGAATAATAGCACTACAGACAAAATGCAGATATGCTATTGAAACCCTCTATTCCTCTTGAAGCTCAAGCGAATAGTAATCAATAACATCTTAAAAGTTCCCATAATGATAATTACGCAACACGCCATAAGCAAATATACGTATCTTTAATAAATTCTCATCAGGCTTTACATTTTCTACAAAACGAAATATAAGTCGTAGGCATTCGAATTAATGCGGTTAATAAAATATATGATCAGAGGTTCAGGGATATGAAATAATCGATAACAATTGAGGGGTGATCATCATAATAGTAATAATAACAAGGATAAATTCATTCAAGTTGTTTACATAATCTAGGCAACGGTGAGTGCATAGGTAGAATGTGCATACTTGGTACGGCTAGACGGGAGAAATTACTATCGTCACACAGCCATTAGATTACATAATAAGCGCAAAAATAATAATGATAACTTGTGAAACCGACAGTAAAATGTACAAATACGGCACAGCTTGGTATTCATAATACAGTTAGGAATACAAACAAAATGAAATATGATGAGATAATGGCTTGGCATGTGATGCCACTGAAAGGTCCCTTCAGAGTGTGCCCAGTCCATGCCCATTTTATTCAGGATGTTTGTTAAGCAATAGGTTCTTGACTGGTTTGTTTCCAGAGTTCCTAGTCGCTTATTCTTACTGGCCGGCCATCTCACTTTAAGTATTGAGCCATAGAAGGCAGCTGCTCGAAACGCTTTTGGTGACGCACCAAGTTTCTCACTTATGCACTAGAAGTGACTTAACATTGATTTCCGTTCTTTATGCTGAGTGCAGTAGATTTGTAAGCCGATTTTAGAGTGATGAAGGTGTACCCTGCCTTTCCAATTCTGGCTTTGACATCCTCATCTGTGCTGTCAGCTGTAAATGAAAGGATGCTGCTTGACTAGATAAGTAGAGGAGGTAACATTTTTCAAATCTCATCCGCTGATAGTGATTGGTGTTTTTCGTTGGTTGGTTGGCTATTTTCATCACTTACATCTTCTCTGTGTTCACTTGAAGTCCTGTCTTTCCTGCCTGTCTCTTCAGCCAGTTTGTTTATTTTCGCCTGTAAGTTTTCGAGTTTTGACATTTCACATAAATCGTCCACGAAGATGAGATCTTCTGGTCTACTCATCGGTCCAGCGTATTCCTGTCTTCTCGTTTTCCACAGCTTTCTGCATAGTCCATTTCACTACAATTAAAAATATCATCGGTGATAACAGGCTGCCTCGTCTAACTCCTGTATTCACTACAAAGATTTCGCTGTGTTTTCCGTTGTGGACCACCTGACATGTGCCACTGTCATATAACCAGCTGTTGAATGAGGTTGATAGAGATTTGGACACTGCACGCCATACTGTTGAAGCAGTTTCCATATTAATTCACGATCAACGCTTTCTGGTGAAGGCCTTCTCTAGGTCGATGAAGGTAGAGGTGTGACTGCCATTCTATGCTTTGTTAGTTGATGATGCACAGAGTTGCAATTTGATTAGCACATGATTTGCCTATTGCGAATCCAACTTGCTCCAGGCGGAGTTCTGCATCCAGTGCATCTTTTATTCTCTGTAGCATGACAAGACTTGGTAATTTACTTGGCGTGTATGGGAGCATTATTCCACGCCAGTTCTTGCAGAGACTGAAGTCGCATTTCTTTAGCAGATTGATAAGGTAGCCAGCCTTTCTTCCAATCGGTAGGTACCTCTCCTTCTTTCCAAACCTTTTGCAGTAGTGGCGTCAGCATTGCCACTGGAGTCTCTGAATCCGTTTTTAGTGCTTCATAAGGAATTCTGTCTGGTTCTGCTAGCTTCTTGCCTGCCTTTCAATAGCTTGATTTCATTCAAGACTTCTGCTTTTGTTCAAAGATTGGTATCCGCTGGCAGCTCTGAGACTGTAGGTAATATTTCTGGACGAGTTTCAACGCGATGGTCGGTTCAGGTGTCTTTTGAAGTGATCAGTCAATTGTTTTCTTTGTCTACCTTTCATCGGTTTCATTTGTGTTAATCTTCTTCTGGGATAGAGATCTGGTAATCTGATACAATCTAGCATACATTATAGTTTTATCTCATACTTGTGGCCCAAGAGGCCTAGTGGTTCCATTCCCGGCAGATGCACTCTTAAGCCTCGCTTAACCCGTATTAAGCCAGGTAAAGACGGAGGGTTGGACATGAGATTAGCAAAGCCAACCCGTAAAAAAACACCATTGCTACTGAAACTTTAAAACTCAAGCTTGTTCCACTCGGAACGCAAAAGAAATGAAATGGAACTTATTAAGGACTTACTTATACGATTCAGTGCTGCGGTTCCATTGACTGTTATTCCTGAACCCTAAAAAGAACAGGACATTTTACATATATATAACTTCAAATATATTTTTAGAGGTTTAAAGATAAAAAGCGAAATAGTTGAAACATTTCCTTGCTAACTGAAATGCCTAGAATGTTGGAGTGTATGACAAACTACAATTAACTCTATCATGTTAAACTAGATGAAAAGAAAGTGATATAGAAGAATTCAAACGGCATTGATCAAGAATGCTAATATGATAGACTAGTTTGGTTGGCAAAGTTTAGAAATAATTTAAGCGGAGTTTATGTCTAACATTTACTAAATCTCTTAACTCTATCTAATTTACACAACCTACTTATTTAAAAGGCAACATACACACTTATCACCTGTTCTACTGAACACACCCTTTATTAAATGTAATTCAGCGTCGTTATAAATGAAAACAAAGTATTTACTTGCAATAGGGGCCAGGCAAACGATTATGTAAATTACTAGTTAAAATAAATATCACGAGTTCAATTAATTTTTCACTAAGTATCATATGAAACAACAACCTCCGCCTCCCCCCCCCGAATACATTTCAACTAGGCTTTCTCGATCTAGTGAATAAACCAGTCAGTGGAATTTCCGAACCAGTTTCTTTATGAAAACACTTTTCTTTTATTACTATGACACAAACTCCGCCACTCGATTCCTATGCTGCATACTCTAAATACTCCTGGACGGTATAACACAAGATTCTACGACTCTAACATTTTGTTTCTATTCCTTCACCTTCCCAGTGGAACAAAGGGTTTAAAGCTAGAGGCTTGACGTTTCTGTAGCAGTGGTGTTTATTTTTACTGGGTGGGGTCGCTAACTGGCGTCATACCCAACCTTCCCTCTTTACCAATCTTATTTCTGGCTTAGCGAGGTAAAGGAATGCGTCTGTGGCCGAGTATCGAACCACGAACTATGTACATGGTCAGTAAGCGCCCGAACCGCTGTGCCACCGACGCAGCTTTAAAATTTAAAACACTGATTACTGAACCAAGAATATTCTTCCCCTCAAGTGGGACATTTATATGGCCATAATAATAAAAGAAATATTGTTATTAACAACATTAATTAATCAATACTATCGACAGATTACATTTCAAGAGTATCAGTAAGGGATAATATACATGAATATAACACTTAAACTGAATATCAAATATATTGAGGAAAGGAACACAGAATTTGTAGGTTCAACAGAAGGCCAGGGTAGCAATAGTGGCTGGTTGAACCCATTTCTTCTGCACCCAGAGCTCCAGTCGATCTAGGCGAAATGCAATGGCCTCTTTGATTTGAAATGTCCAGGATCTAAAGACTGTTTTGGTAATTTATTCAATAACCGGTAGAAGATAGAGATAGACTCCTCAATGCTAGCTAGCTTTCTGACCTGTTTGGAAGAAGCAGTCCAATACAGAACTTCATACAATTCTTACCATTAATGAGTTTGATTAAAGCCAGAACGACAAATGTACCAGGATAATCTGAGCTCATATTTTTATCCTTATTATTTCGTGGATTCTTCTCAACTGGTTACAACCTGAACAATACCACAATTGTAAATTAAATAAAAGATCTGAACATACCTTTCTCCAATGATAAGTAATAGTTGATTGGAACTAAGAGTAACATTAGTCGGGAATCATGTAAGCTGTTGAATAATTAAGAGTGAAAAGGATCGCCTATTTATAGAAGAATTGTATGACTAAGCTTGGAAACAGGAAGACAGAGTTCAATAGATGTTTTGTGCGTAGAAATAAAGTTTAACTAGAAAGAGTATAAAAAGTAATCGGTTGCGTAACCGCAGAAAAAGGCGCTCTAAAAAAAGAGGGGTAGGATGAGTCATGTTTAGACAGTATGTTTACATATTTTATTTTGTTTTATTTATAATTCTGGTATTGTTCAGGTTGTAACCAGTTGAGAAGAATCCAAGAAATAATAAATAAAAGTATGAGCTCAGATTATCCTGGTACATTCGTCGTTCTTGTTTTATTCAACATAGAACTGCCGACATTAACGATTACCTTGCACAAACAAATGCCAATTATATATATTTCTGTACAACTTTGTGTTAATGAAAAATCGATAAGATATGCTTTGGAAACAGTAGTTCCAGGAATGTGAACAGTGAGGCAGGATCATAATAATAGTAATAATGATAATAATAATAATAATAAAGGACACGTTCACACATGTCCGTCTACAAATGTACTTTTTTGATATATTGTAAGATTATCACCTTTTTCAGCAAGTATTGACAGACCTTCATCTGGCAACGCCGGTGACACTGACAACAATAAATACACCTAAAAAGAATTGACATGTACCACAGTTACAAAGGCCTATAAATATCTAGATCAAAGATGTTGGACTACCTAAACACTTCCATCTACATATACTGCATTTAATTTATCGTGTTTCATTTGTTTCTACGCATAAAAGTATGACACCGAATAGTATTACTTACTTTTGCGAAGTTTAAAAGTGTTTAAGATCACCAACTGACTTTCAAGTTTCTAATAAAGCTGAGAAAAAGAATCACGATGGTTGGCAATGTGTATTAAAACACACATCTATTCATTGTATTACCATTTCTGTTATGATTGCTGCCAACCGCCGTTCTCTTCCCCACGGCATTAGATATCTGCAGTCTCTTTTATCCTCTGATACTTATCACAAGACGGTTATAATCACGCTACAAGAAACTTGGCGTCACGAGCTTTATGATGATAATCTTGTCTCACTAAATGGTTTCACATTATTTAGACAAGATCAACTTTAGTTAGTATACAATTGGTGGATGGTGGCTAGCAGTGGAATCCAGGATGCACATTTCGTTCTATTTGGGACTCGTCAGCTGGATGTACCTGCATTTCTCAGTGAGTGATGATGTTCCCACCGAGGCTCGAACCCAGTACCATAGTTTCAAACGCCAAAGCGTTATCCACTAGACCACTTGGGCCACGACCACGGGCATCCTGGATTCCACTGCTAGCCACCATCCACCAATTGTATACTAATTAAATGCCCAGACATCGTCTAAGCATCTGCACAAGAAGCCGACATGTCAACCTGAGACCGAGCACTTCGGTCCAATCAATCGACGGGAAAATCAAAAATTCAATTAAATAAAGATCAACTTTGTTCAAAAAACAAATGTGACCGTGGGTTTGCGATTTTTATTCATTCCAAACATGTATGAATGTATGATTTACATTCTTGAGTGACTTTATTGATTGTGTCGCTGTCAGTTGTTGTCCCAAACACTTATGAAAATGTAAACATATCTCTTGTCTAAAACATTTATGCTGCCACTGTATGTTCTCTCTTGGATCTATCTAATTTTGCAGACGAATTTACAGTTTTTGCCGTTGTTTATCTTGATAACTCTTTATCGATAATCACTGAAGATTTCAGTGTGTTGAGACTGTTTCTTCCATGAATCACTAGGTCAAGTAAACGTTGTCAACTTCGCTACTCAACTTGACAAAACAACAGATTTAGTGTTGACAAATGACGTTAGAATATATAAAGTAACCAAAGGTGCTCCAATATTGAATTCTTATCAGTGCATTATTCAACTGTAACCCAAAATATATGGCAAGTCATAAGCAAAGTGTATTCTCTCACCTTTCCAAAATAAAACACAACAGAGATGCTAATCACAGGACAATATACATAACCCTAGATGCATGTTGAAGGACACTAACCGGGATCTATTTACTGAGCCTACACTAGATGATACAATCACTAGCATAACTGGTTATTTTAAATTCTGCCTCAAAATATGTTGCCCGAAACAAACACTATCCAAAAGATTTGGTCGTTTCTCTTTTCGTAATCTCAAAGAGCTACGTAGAGAATGAGAACGGTCAAACAAGTCTAAAGACAAGTCTGGTCTCAAAGGGATTAACATCTTGATCAAATCTGATATTCAAAGTCAAAATACTATTCGTCACCGAAAACTTTCATCATGTAAAACTCCCTTAGGCACGTGGAAATTTTTTTAATGAAATTACTGGTGGTAGTGAGCAAAGTATTACTGTCCCCTTTGTTGATGTAAATATTCTTAACAAGTTTTTCATAGACTCTTTTGCTCACGTTATTTATTCAAAATGTTAGTAAATTTCATGGTTTTAATACCCTTGATGTTCTCAGATCTTTAAAATCTCCCTTAAAGCCTTAGTTCTGCAGGTGTGCTTGCTGCTGTTCCCAGAAAAAGTGCTAACACTTTATTCTGTCGCCTTACAAACAATTTCAATGCTTGTTGAATTGAATTTTTGATTTTCCCGTCGATTGATTGGACCGAAGTGCTCGGTCTCAGGTTGACATGTCGGCTTCTTGTGCAGATGCTTAGACGATGTCTGGGCATTTAATTAGTATACAATTAGTGGATGGTGGCTAGCAGTGGAATCCAGGATGCGCATTTCGTTCTATTTGGGACTCGTCAGCTGGATGTACCTGCATTTCTCAGTGAGTGATGATGTTCCCACCAAGGCTCGAACCCAGTACCATAGTTTCAAACGTCAAAGCGTTATCCACCTGACCAATCAATCGACGGTAAAATCAAAAATTCAATTCAATAATTAATATGACCCGTTGCACAAGAGGTGGTTCTCGTGGCCCAAGTGGTCTAGTGGATAACGCTTTGACGTTTGAAACTATGGTACTGGGTTCGAGCCTCGGTGGGAACATCATCACTCACTGAGAAATGCAGGTACATCCAGCTGACGAGTCCCAAATAGAACGAATTGCGCATCCTGGATTCCACTGCTAGCCACCATCCACTAATTGTATACTAATTTCAATGCTTCTTTTGCTAGTAATGTTGTATCCGTAACAGGGAAAGACATTAAAATTATCCCGGTGCCCAATTCATGCTCTGGTATTAATAGTAGGTTTACATCTATCGCACTTACTTCTCCGTTTTTGAAATTAATGGATAAATTACCTGAACATAAACTTGAAAAGTTTTAATGACCCTAAAAAGCCTCCACATAAACAGGGCAAAAGTATTTAAGATGCTGCTGTTGTCTTACACCAAAATATTGTTTCCTGTTTGGACAAAGGAGTCAAATATGTCCAATGTACCTCCCTGAACTTCACATATCCTTCTGACTCTGTACCCAGATGCCTTTTGTCAAATAGGCTTTCCCTGACACAAACCAAGTCGTGGGATGTTAACTGGTTGTTTTATTGTTGCTCTAACAGAATGCAGTATGCTGTATATAAGAGCAAATCTTCCTCTGCCTCGTCTACTGAAGCTGAAGTTCCTCAAGGTGCTGTTATCTCTCCTCTTCTTTCTTCTTATATGACTTGTGTCTTTCGATGATGACCTGACTGTCTCCTTGCCAGCTACATCACAATCTGACTGTTCCAAACTTAACAGATTTTTTTGGATGCAAGCCATTAGTCCAAGTTAAATGGTCTTCCGTTAAATCCCTCTAACTGTCAGACAGCTAACTTGACCCTCAGGCACAAAAGTGATCTACAAGAACATGTCATTTCACAAGACGCTTGTAGCATAGAGGGCATTGAAATACAAACTAAGTCAGGCATTAGATACATTGGAATCGTTCTATTCTCTGATGTTTCTTGGTCATCCCATATCTTGCTGATTTTGTTTAACCTATTACATAAAAAAGTTAAGACAATCGGGTAGATAACACTCAATCTCTACTTTCCGTGTTACCTGTTCTTCATTATTGCTCCCACCCCACCCCTTAGTCTTTCCTGGGCTACTCAAAAAAGACTATGTCGTATTGCGAAAGATATCACAGGTTGTAAGTAAGGTAAACAGTGTGCCACTAAGTCAGCTCGTTACTACTGAAGTCGACAGACACCTGAACTCATGTGAGAAATGGTCTAAATGTATATCATCTTACTCTCAGCACCCCCTCTATTCACAACTCGACCCCCTTGCATCTCAGATAATATACTTTTAAAACCAAGTATAAAAAACTTAACGACAATCAATTTAGCCCGCCAGCATTCTATGTGATAGAGATATTGTTTAGCGTGAAACCTACATTTACTATGTAAATAGCGAAGTAATTCGCTCTTTTATCTTCTCCTGCTTGTGATTTATGGTAACACTATTTCAATTATCTTATCATTTTAGTTATTATTATTTTATGCCTTTTGTATACTTTTGACTTTACTGTCACCGGAAATACCAGAGATCTGCTATTATCACTTCTGGTTGCCTATGCCATGTGATGTTTCTTGTTGTTGCTGGGTGAATTAGATGCAATATGGTACTGGTACCAAATTCTGAGAATTCTATAAGTACTGTTTTGGAATACAGCAAATTATTGTCATTGTCTTGGAAGAAAGGGAGAGTCTAGTTTGATTGAAGCATTAAAATTACTTAGCGTAATCTCAGCACATTTAGTGAATATAAATAAAACATTTCCCAGAACTACGCTGCACAAACCACAATCTTCAGTAAAATAATAACCGAGTAATTCCATCAGTGAATTTTAGTTCCAGATTACTGCCAGAAACAAAACAGATATTTCAACAAGCAGTTTAAATATCCATTTTCAAGTAGACTGCGTCGGTGGCACAGCGGTTAGGACTCTCACCGACCATACACATGGTCCGGGGTTCGATCCCCTGCCGACGCACACCCGATATCAATGGTCGGTCTGCAAAATTGGGCTACCGACATCACATGCTGGAAATTCCATACTAGTACCAAAAATACGTTGTGGAATCAAGCAATAATTAGAAAAACTACCGTTTGACAAGTTAGCCTACCTGTTGTCTAGCTGCATCCAACGACCAAGATTTAACATAATCCAAGAGATGTTTAGCATCCGCACTTCGATTTGATACCTCAGGTGTTGATGATACCACCTGAGACCTGAGATGTTGAACTACCGGAAGATTTGCATCCCCAGAAAAATTATATTCTTTAGTATCAGCAGGTAGATGAGATAAAACGCCATCATTATTCATGACTGGATGCATAAATCTGTATGTTGATGGAGGATTAGTTGAAGTTGCAATTGAATGGCCGTACAAAGCAACATCGATAGGCGGTCGAAATGTACACTCGGTAGGATATTGCAATGACTCACTTTCTCGAAAGATAGTCTGTGTTTCGGCAAATTGTGTTTTCATTAGTTGCTTTTGAGCATTATCACTATTCAGTAAGCTTAGGTGGTTAGTTATAGATGGTTCTGGGAAGTTTATGTATGGAGGTAGACCTAAAATGTGGAGGTATGGATAAAGAGGTAAAACCTCAAGGACAAAGACAACGGCTTATTAACAATGCCAAAAAACTTGTCGTGATCAGTCTTACAATTAACTCGAAAATTATATGTAAGCACTAACTTCTAGGATGACTGATTTGACATATACAGCTTTCAACTACGGAGTTTGTACCAAAAAATCGTGACTGAGAATCTAACAAGAGCTTGAAGGAGAACTTACTCATATAAGCGATTGACGCCGTGAGTCGGTAATTCAGTGGTAGAATCGCTCACCAGCCAAGTGGGAGATACAAGTTCGATTCCCGACTGACGCAAATCTATATCTCGTCCAGTTCATTAAGTCCTGGAAAGGAAGGGTGCATGTGAGTCTGGTAACCCTACCATATAAACAACACCATCACAGATGAAAATTTAAAGCTCAAAGCCCTGTTCCACTTGGAACGCGAGGAATGAAAAAAACATTGAGACCATCCGTGAAACAGATATTGAACCGATTATCGGCGCCGTTAGATACTCGGTGCAAGATGGTAGTGGGGATCTACCCAAGCAAACTGACTAGACTGTTTGGAAGACTGACAGCGTCTCACCCATGTGGAAAGAGATCAACCCTGCACTTATCTTTAAAAAGAATAACTCAAGAGGTATTTAACAATCTTGGGATAGTAAAAGTAATCCTAAAATTCTGACTCAGAAAAACAAGTTACTTCACTGAGTGGCAAGTTGCACCTGTTTAGAATGTAGCTGTAGTGCAATCCAAGACACATTTCTTGAAATATAATGGAAATATTCCTTAAAGGAACATATAACTTGCAAACAACACGAACTTTTGCACAAGTTGCATGTGGTAATGGGATTAAAAGTAAGAGACTAGGGAGCTCTAGAACTACTCATCGCCAAAAAATATATCTGCAATTTTAAGGAGACATTTTCTTCTCCGACAATGAATTCTGTGTTATTTAATGGCCAATCACTATGCTATTCAAACTAAAACTGATTCCCTGTACCCCAACCTGGTGTACATAATTGGTAGCTATGTGGTAAGCAATGTAGCAGCAATATAATACTGATATTTGTGTCCAAAGGATTTGAGAAGATAGAGTAAACAATCGTTATTGATAAGAAGTGGATTAAACTAACAAACATCCTGTAGCAATCTACTGAAATACGACAAACTAAATGTTAAAACAAATACCTTTAGAGGTAGGCTACCAGAGGCAAAACAAAAGATGCGAAGCTTTAATCTTTATTTTAGAATGTAAAAAAGCGACACCAGATGCTTTCTGAGTATTGGCACTGATTGGCTGTACTGTATAACCTTTTTAAAATTCTGATGAAATAATACATACAGGTAATTGCCAGTTAAAAAGTAAAAACTCGGTTCACTTACTTGGATTCTCTTGTTGTGAACTTAGGAAACGGAAATCCGGTTTAGAGTATAAACTAAGTCTCTGTAGTAACTCTTGGTCTGAACTGAATACTTCTTTCCCACTTAATAAATCAGCGATTTCAACCTCTGATTGATGTATTCTACTTGTAGGAGAGATAACATCACTCGTATTGCGGAGCGAAAGAGACTGAATTGAAAACATTTTATAAAAAAAGACATTGATTAGCTACACAATCATATTCCTAATTTGTCATAGATACAACGATTAATTAGAAATTTCAGTACATTTCAGTTAAAGAAGTGTACTACAAAATCTACGTAGACGCAGTGTCTAAGTACCATAATTAACAACAGTGTTCGATTTGCTCCTCCCTTTCAAGGAAATACTACTCACTTCTTTTACATGCGGCGAAATTCCAAGAAAAATAGAAGAATAAATGCAAAATCAACCGCTAATAGTATATGTAGGTTGGTGTGCGTGAACTATATTCATTTATCCGTAAGAGTATTATCCTAAACAAAATGTTTTAAGTGTACTTGGGAATTTGAATTAAAGGAATAGTGTCGAGTTAAAATGTCCGTAAAAATACTCTAATCTTTTACAAACAAGGTTTCTATGGTTACAGACTACAGAGTGGATCTGCAAATTAACTATCTGTCTTCATTCAAAGGTATAGAAACTGCCAAAGGTCTGATGAAATCTATGATGGAAAAGCACAATACAATCCATTATGAAGAGAGTGAGGGTAACAAGTCACACAACAGAAGTCATAGTGTGAAAGTTGGATTAGCAAATACATTATTATATTCATACTGTTGCAGTACGTGCAATCGGGGAAATAAACTAGAGAGGAGCTAATCATTGAGAGGTTAATTAATTTCAGCTGACTGAGGTATAACAAATTGTCTTACGTGAGTTTTGTTAGCCTGTTACAATTTGAAATTGTCTATTACACCAGACTACATGAAATAAGAAAAAAACCTACTTTATGGGTATGGAATCGAATGGTTGAGTATGCTGACTAGTGCGCTTACTAGGGGGGCTCCACCAACCCTTATAGACAAGTCACTGATGATATCTCAATATGAATGAAATTGCTCACTTTGCATTCTCCAGCATGCGCACTCTTCGAAATGGGCTTATATGTCTGACTGCTTATCTAGACGCATGAATACAACACAGTAGTTAGTGATGTTCTACTTCATTTTTGCAAAACAAGGCCACCAGATGTGAATGTAAACGGATTACATTGACTGTATGCACTTTCATCAAACGCCATCACCATTGGACTGACCAACGTGGTAAGCATCGCTTAGGTTAAGTGCGAATTCAAGACAAGAAGGTTAGTTGACGGGAATGTGGGGCCCTGGTGGTTCTGGACCAAGTGTTACACATGATGAACCACAACCTTCATTGACAGCGTCAGTGAAGCAGAATTAGGTTTCGAAAAAATATGGAGTGGTCAGATTTAAACGTGATATCAACCTATGAAGTCATTAACTGACGGTTTGAGCCACGCTGAAGAAGATGCCACCGAATGGTAATCTATTGTGAGATAGATGCACATCGGGTACAATGGCTCGAAGGCACTCACTTCATGTCAACTGCACTTATTTTCTCCCCTGTGCCTATAAGAATACCATTAAGTTCCTATTTTATGCTTTTGCGAGATTTGACAACTTGGTCAAGTGCTGATTTGTGTAATTTAACCTAAATATGTATGAATTACTTTTAGCTGAGACAAATGTTGGAGAGCTACGAAAATTTCCTCAGAACCACTTTTTGAGAGAAATCCTACGGAAAGTTAGGGGTCTTCTTCGGAAATGCAGCGACATGAAGAATATAAATCCGCAAAACTGTGCTTTAGCCAGTTATTCCTGTACACTCAACAGCCTACGACAGGCTAGTCCAGATAAATTTTTAATATCTTTCAAATGTAGACGTAACAAAACTTCCTAAAGCAATTCCGTACATCCCTCCTATCAACAGTCCCTTACTTACAAAAATAGTCAATTTAAATCTTGAAATTATCCCAGAAATTTTCACTTAAAGCATTAATAGGTTTATTTCTCATTCTTCTCTTCCTAACAATTTCTGATTTACGAGTAGTTCAAGCTGTGCTTATTATTTAGACCTAGTAAATGCTAGAACGCAATACGAATAAACCACAATTTAACTGGGGTCGTCGGAGTGAATCCCTATATCTTGACCAGAAATTTGTTATTTTTCACTAAAGTTAGGAAGGGTATAAGAAGTCATTTTTGAAAGACAATTGAAAGAAATTAAAGTGTACATCTTACATTTTTTTCACCTTTGGTCTTAGGATTTGAGATTCCAGAGGAATAGCCCAAAGAAAAGGATTTATCCAACAAATTCTTCTTAATGGATTCCACGCGGCTTCGGCGACGAGCATTCTGACTATCGAAGTCATAAGAGGTGCGAATTAGCTCATCCTCACTAACCAAATAGGGTATGGATAAAACAAGTTACTTGTCGCTGAAATTTCGGCAACTGTAACCACAACCTAAGGCTTCCGGTGCATCGAAAAACTCGTCTTCCTCTGAGCTCATCTAGGGTGAGTATATACGTTGTCTCGTGTTATATGTCAATCCGGAGACGGCGCTAACTACAGCCTAATGACCCCGGTGAAGGTCATCTGATCAAATATCCAATATCCTTTTAACGTGATATAGACATATATCTGTTCTATTTTTATTCATGCCTTCCGTTAAAGGAAGGTTTTTTAGACTCCGGACTCAGTTGGGTACTTTGTTAAAAATATATGATTGCTGTTAGGACCGAGTGTTATAGACAATACTGACAAATATGTGCAGAGCACGCAATTATTATTATTCTCTTGAGTTCACAGTGGAACATATAACTTCACCAACACACCCGTACCTTGTCCTATCTTCTGTCGTCCTCTTTAGCTGGGTCAACATCTTCTCATAACCTCTCATCTCCTCTCCACCCGAACTGCAGCATGTCAGTCTGAAAAATGTCAAAGCATGGGTAACGAAGCACATTCCCAAAGACGTCACGAAGCATTTGAGAAGGGATACTCTTTCCCGAACTAGAAGTAACATGCCTAGCAACGCACATAACTTGGGAATGCAACGTAGAATGGATCCTCAGGATATATGGAGCACTAAACGGGACTCATATAGGCACCATATTAACGAAAATTCTCGTCCAAACTCTCTCACTATCTATGTTAAACCTCATCAACGTAATGAGAATAGGTCGACATTAGATCCCCTCAATAACTTCACTCACACACGTGATGCGAGCCAATATGCATACGACTATGAGAACCCCGTGAGGTACAACTACCAAGGCAATCTTAACACAGGGTACCTAGGTTCAGTAAACTACAACGCAAATTGCAGGGCAGACCATATATCACCAGTGGATGAACGCAGATGCCGACCCATGGGTGCTAACAGTCAAAATATGCAACAGGATTATTTTTGGCTGCAGCAAACAATATCATCACTCGCTGCACAGTTCATCCAGGAAATAGTACACATACTGACTCTGTCTCACCTCAGAGCCCCTCCAAACATAACGTAGGGATAGTAACAAGTAACCATGTTAACCCCTCCTCCAATAACTCTGGTTTACTAGCAATTATGCTCCTGAATGCTAGATCTCTCCTTAATAAAATAACAACGCTTCGCTGCCTGGCATACATAGAACGGCCAACACTAATAATGGTGACTGAAACCTGGCTTACTTCTGATATACCTGACACAAAGCTAGTAATAGACAACTACGACATCTATAGGAACGATAGAGTCAACAAAAGAGGAGGCGGTTGCTTAATATATGCCTCTAGATCCACTAACTCCAATACTTTTAATAACCCAAACACTGACGAACTCCCAGAATCCAAGTGGATAAGCATCCACACAAACGAAAGTAAGATTCTCGTGGGATATATATACACACACCCCAATAGCCCTGAAATGACTGATATAACTATTGGAGAAATACTAGAGCATGTAGCCAAGCTGGACTTTGACCACAAAGTAGTATGTGGAGATCTCAACTTACCTGGAGTAAAGTGGGATACCTGTACAGGACCTAGAATCCATGACGAGCTACTACAAGCTATAGACATAGGAGGATGGAAGCAGTGCGTATGCCTCCCTACAAGGAACCAAAATACTCTTGACTTAATCCTCAGTCATAACATAGAGCCCATCTCGATAGAGGCGGGAAATAAACTGGATAACAGTGATCACAACATATTGTACTGCACGCTACGCCTCCGACTAACAACTAAATACACACCTAAAAATTCCCCGGTGTGCTATCAATATAGGGACCATAAGAATGCTGACTGAGAATTCCTATCAGATCTGTTGAGAAGTTCTGACTGGGAAGAATACTTCATCAACAATAACTTAGAAGTATCACTTGAGATTTTCTACAAAACAGTTGGCTCAGAAAAAGACACAGTCGCGCCCCTAAAATCTGCTCTAAAGACACCAACTCCATTTATTGACTGCAAAACGCGACTAAAACTAAAGAAACTGGAAAGGAAATACCATGTATTTAAGGAATTTAATGCGTTAAACCAAATACATGAAACTCTTAAACTGCTTGAAGTGTGTAGCGGTAAATAATTCCCCAAAATTATTGACCACAGCAATCACTCATTGGATGCTGACCACCACTGTTTAAGTCGACTTGTTTAGCTGAAGGCTTCCGGTCAAGCATCCCCGCCATTTGGTACCCCGTCGTGTCACGTGCACGATCACTAGCTAGCTAAGCGTTCGTCTAACGGCTTGTTTTGGTTCCAAAATATATTACGAAGTTTGGACAATCAATTATTGGCTTTTGCTTTGTCTTTGGTACGCGAGAATAAATTAATTAGAAGTTGCTGAACGAGATATCAGTCAACCTCTAAACTGGTGAGCCCAACCGCGAACTTCATCCACGATAAATCCGCAGATAACCCCGGTGAGTTCGTTCCATTTTTTATTTGTTCTTTTACCATATATTATTCGACATAATTTTCGTCATGAGTGATCTTAGTCCCAAGGTCATCCGTATCCGCTCAACTCCTAAAACCATTCAGCTCGTACCATACTGGCCAGATAATGCTGAAATTTGGTTTCTGCTAGCTGAAGCAGATTTTTGTGAGCATGGGATAACCGATCAACGTTCACAGTTACTTGCAGTTATTCACGCCCTACCGCGGGAATTCAGCAAGTACGTAACATCACAGATGTTCAGTCCCGAGGTAAGTAACTCGTACGAGTTGCTCAAAGCATCCCTCCTCAGGAGAAACGTTCTCACGGACCGACAACGTCTGGACGAATTATTTCGTAACATTGAGTTAGGAGATCAGTCAGCCGTGAGCATGCTGACAAGAATGAAAGAAATCGTCGGGCAAAGTCAGTTCGACGAAGGACTATTTAGAGAACTCTTCTTATCCAAGCTGCCACAGTCTGTACAGACCGTACTTGTGACACTTCAGGGTACTGTAATACAGGACTTAGCAATTACTGCAGATAGGATTCTAGAGATTACTAAACGGTCTGTTCCCGAAATATGCTCGATGACTAAGCAGACTTCGAGTAAGGATCCTGCAATGATAGAGTTATGCAACTCCATCCAGCAGATGTTTAGGTCGAACATGCATTCTAACTCCTCCGACCGTCGTCCTAAATCTCCTCAACGCAGGAACTCACGTGGTCGATCTAAGTCCAAACCACGTTCACTGAAAAACCCTGACTGGTGCTGGTACCACAACACCTATGGCCAAGAAGCGAAGTGTTGCCGTAAGCCTTGTAACTTCGGAAATGTCTCAAAGTCTGTGGGAAACTATCCCGCTGGCACGCGTTAGCGGCAACCGTCACCGGTGGCACTAGCCGCCTTCTTTACATCCATGATGTGATAAGCCAGACTCGATATTTAGTCGACACAGGCGCCGAAGTCAGCGTCCTTCCTGCTACAGCAGCAGATCGACAGAAGGAACCTACCTTCAACTTACAGGCTGCAAATGGAAAACCAATCGCAACCTTTGGTAGGAAATACGTCTATCTGAACGTAGGTTTACGCAAACCTATTCGGTGGATTTTCCTTCTCGCTGACGTTACAATGCCCATCATTGGCACGGACCTACTTAATCATCATGATTTACTCGTAGACGTCCGCCGTAAACGACTGATTGACAATACTACTAGTCTGTCTATCAAAGGCATCAGCTACATAGGCCCAAGTCTGTCACCCGTTAAGATAAAGGCAATTCTTGATCCAACTTTTCAACCTATTGTTGACAAGTATCCGGAAATTAACTGCCCGTCGAACGACCTGCCGTGCATAACCAGCAATGTTATGCACCACATCATTACCACAGGACAACCTGTGACATCTAAAGCACGACGATTAGCTCCTGACAAACTGAGAATCACCAGGAATGAATTTGACCATATGCTCACCCTTGGCATCATTCGACCTTCGAACAGCCCATGGGCATCTCCACTTCATATGGTTCCGAAAAAGGATAGCAATGATTGGCGACCGACCGGTGGTTCTCGGCGAGTGAATGCCGAAACAACCCCCGATTGCTACCCGTTGCCTCATATACACGACTTGACGGCAACCTTATCCGGCGCGACTATATTCTCTAAAATCGACTTGGTTAAAGCGTATAACCAAATCCCGATGGCAACAGAAGATATCCCGAAAACGGCTATCATTACGCCTTTCGGACTTTTTGAATTTCTACGTATGCCATTCGGTCTCCGGAATGCAGCCCAAACACTTCAACGCTTCATTGACGAAGTATTTCGCGGTCTCGACTTTGTATACGCATACTCAGACGACTGCCTCATTGCCAGTCCAGACAAGGAAACTCACCTTAGGCACTTGGACTTGGCATTTGACAGGTTACGCCAACATGGTGTTACCGTCAATATTCAAAAGTGTCAAATCGGTGTTGACTCACTCGACTTTCTGGGTCACAGTATTGACTGCAAGGGCATTCGCCCACTGGCTACCAAGGTCGAGGCTATACTGAAACCGGCTTACTTGGAGGGTAATCCTATTAGCATAGAGCTCAACGTACCCCAAAATCCACAAGTAACAGAAGATCGTTTAGACATCGATGAAGTCACTAGCACAGCGACAGCTACCGAACCTTCTATCGAGCCTCCCAAGAAAACCCGTTCTGGACGCACCGTAAGGTTGCCAGAATATCTGCACACTTATTTGACTTAACGAAGTCGTGTGATTCACGCAACTCATTCGTTTGTGGTACTGACTATTTTTTTTGACGTATAAATTTTTTTTATATACAGTACCACCGAACACAAATTTTTTCTCAACAGTTCATGTAACATACACAAAAAAATTAATTAGATGTATTTTTTTTCGATGTTCTGAACTTAGCATTATTTTACTGTATAGTAAATGCACACAATTTTTTTAACCAAAAAGCTCATTTCGTACATTTTCCTCGACATGGTTCTTAGCGTTCTTGTTTTCTTTTCCAGGTGCGACGGGCACTGGACAGGAAACAAACGAAGCACGGAATCCAACGAACAACAACAAGGAAGCTATATACAAACACCCTATTAGCATAGGCAGACAAACCAGTAGGCATACGACCAAGCCGCTCGGAAGATTTTTTTCA